TCCTAAAATTTTACTTTTGCACCTGTGCCACACTTAATTATTACTTATATCAAACACTCAGAGCTGGTAATTCATCCTGTAAGATTGAAAACTCTTTTCCATGGACAGAGATCACAGACAGTGTCTCTGGGGGCTCTGTCCAGGGGGGTTCCTGAATCCCTGCCAGGGTCCCAGACCTTCCAGGGCAGCCAGAGGGAAGCCCTGGATTCCTATGGGAATGCAGCACTGAGGTCTGGCTGCTGCTGGGACTTTGTGGTAAAGCTGATTGCCTGGACTCTGCTGGCCATACCCCTTGTTTTCAGCTTCTAAACTACAACAAAAAGCAGTACATCAAGCATGCCCCTAATCTCCCCCGTTAATACAAGTATTGTCATTGCCACAGGCATCCTGTCCAAGTCTCAGAGGAGCTGAAGGTGATTCATGTGGCTAAGGAAGAGAGGAGGGTTATGGCACAATCTGTCTCCTCACTGGGGCGGGTGACTTGTTGAAAAAGCTCACAAATCACCACTTTCACTGACTGCCAGGTTTCTTTTCCCAGCTCCTCCCCACTCCACAGCCCAGGGTGCGATCCGTGCTGTTTGTGACAAATTTCTGAGTCACAGATTGCTGACCAACTTCAGAAGTTGGAGGGGTTAGGGTTAAAATTAGCTGTGTTGTAGATCCTTGGTGCTGAAAAGGCACACCTGAGGAGAACATCAACTGACCAACATTTCTTGCCATATCCTTTGATACTTCTGCTGATTATCTCCATTTTAAATCAAAGCTGTTGAATCGTTCTCCAAAGTCTGATTTTTTTTGTGCCACGTGAGAAGGAAAATTCAAGCCCTTTCTTGGAAGAGGACTCAGTAATGACTGGATCATGCAAGTGATACTTAGACCTTCCCAGCAACATTCCAGTATTATTTTCATGTTAAATCAATGAGCATATTCCAAAGAGAGATTTGGAAAATAAAAACAAAGAAGGTAAAGCAGGTGATGGGAAGTTTTAGTTTTCTTTTCTTTCTCTAGAACTGGGAGTTACAGCTGATTTGGAATTGTTCCAATTGTTTTAGGTTAATATCTCTTGCCATCTGATGGGCAGTAAACTGTATCCAAAATGACTAAGGAGACTGTAATACAAATGCCCCAAGAAATTGCTTTGCAGCTCCTGGCTTCCCATGGCAGGACACGTCCCTCTTCAGTGGGTAAAACCTGGCTGGATGTCCTGGCATGGAGTGGTGGTGGATGGTGCCACATCCAGCTGGGGACTATCACCAGTGGTGTTCCCCAGGGATCAGTGTTGGACTCAGTCCTGTTTGGTGCCTTTATTGATGATCTAGATCGAGTGCACATGCAGCAAGTACAAAGGTAACACCGAGCTGGGTGGGAGTGTTGATCTTCTGGAGGGAGGAAGGCTCTGGACAGGCTGGAGGGATGGGCTGAGGCCAGTGGTGTGAGATTCAACACGGACAAGTTATGGATGCTGTCCTTGAGTCACAACAACCCTGTGGAGCACTCCAGGCTGGGGACAGAATGGCTGGACAGTGGCCTGAGAAAAGGACCTGGGCGTAGTGGTTGTGAGCGATGGAACATGAGCCAGGTGTGCCCAGGGGGCCAAGGAGGCCAATGGCACCTGGTCTGCCCAGAAATATTGTCCCCAGCAGGACCAGGGCAGGGCCGTGCCCCTGTGCTGGGCACTGCTGAGGCCACGCCTCAGGTGCTGTGTCCTGGTCTGGGCCCCTCGGTTCTGGAAGGACATTGAGGGGCTGGAGCAGGACCTGAGAAGGGCAATGGAGCTGGGAGGCTCTGGAGGGTAAAAGCCCTGTGAGAAGCACTTGAGGGAGCTGGGGGTGTTCAGCCTGGAGAAAAGGAGGCTCAGGGGAGACCTGACCCATCTCTAAGCTGCCTGACAGGAGGCTGGGGCGAGGTGGGGATCGGACTGTCCTCCCAGACAGGATGAGAGAAATGGTTGGAGTTGTGCCATGAGAGGTTCAGATTGGATGTTAGGAAAAATTTCATCACAAAAAGGGTTGTAGAACATGGGAACAGACTGCCCAGGCAAAGACACCATTCCTGGAAGAGTTCAAAAAATGTGTAGATGTGGTACTTGAGAACATGGTTGTATGGTGAAAAAGGTGGTCTCAATGATCTTAAAACTCTTTTCCATTATTAAGAATTCTATGATTCCTGTAGACAAAGCATTTATGGCATGCAGTTGATTTTTTTTATCTGCAGTGGTACTGCCATCAGCATATTTTTAGCTGCCTTGCCTTAGCATATCTTTCCTTTTACTTTGTTATCATAAAACTTTTTACGTGTTTTGTGCAATCTCTCTCGTTCTTTCATTGGAAGAGGCATAGTTAACATATTTGGCTTATAATTTGTCTAGCCCAGATAACAATCTTTGGTCTTTAATGCTGGATCTTCTGAAGTAACAGCTTTATAGGAAACCCTGTACATTCAGCCTTTTAGACCTGTGTAGCCACATAAGCAGTGTTTATTTGTTGTTTGTGAGTTCTCGTGTCTTTTGTGCTGTGGGTCTTGAATTCAATTGCTGCTGATACATGTGACATCTTGCTCAGTTTCCTCTCAGTCCCAACTCTCACAACAGCAGAATGCTCTCCAACCATCCACAGATGACCTTGGTTCATGTTACACTGTTTTATCTTGTCTTTATAAGTGCCACAGAGTATTACTGAGGCTCAAACAACTGTTGTACGTCAATCAGACACTTTTATTTAGCAGGTCATTTTTCTGTCTACTGTACCTTCCTGTACTTATCTGAGGCCTTTCTGGCTGACCTCACACCTGCAATTTAGAGCCATTTCTGTGAGGTCTTGAACCCTAGTTGTGTTTATTATGAGCTGGTCAAAACCTTGTGACAAAAGTATATTTTGAGAAGAGTTAACACGTTCTTCTTTTGATGGTGAGTGCTGGTAAGTGAGGTATGGAGTGAGAACCTGCACATTCTCTTTTCAACGTTCCTGTTGACCCTTTAAACAGGAACAAAAGACCAAGATTATTGAATTTAGAGGTGTTGCAGCTATGCTGAAGGACATGGTTAAAACATAAGAGCTAGATGCATAGGAGAAGAGTATAAATAATAGAATGCAAGTCAGCGCAGACTTACTCAAGTTATACATTTAAGCTGGAAAAAAGAGTAAAAGCAGAATGAAGGCTAAATAAAAGGATTTTAAAAGGATCTGGAACTTATGGGTCCTAGGCTGAAAAAGTATGAATTTTACTATATGGAAAGAAATATGTCCCAGGAGTCTGTGAAAAGATTTTAAGCCAGTTTCAGCTGGAGTCAGCTGTGTCTCCTCTTAAACCCTTAATTTCAGAAGAAGCTGGGAAATAGCTGGAGAAGAGGAACCAAAAGGAAACCACAAAACAAATCTTGAAAAAATTAATCTATGAGGAAAAGACAGAAAAACTCGTATTATCGTTCACAGCATGAGGAGGGACCTGCTAATTAGAGATGTAGAGATAATCTTCAAATATGTAAGAAAATATCTGAAGTGAACGGAAGGACCTATTTTTTCCTGTATGGTGGTATGGTAACCATGAAGTTGAAGAGATGATTCAGATTAGGCATGAAGAAAAATGCTCTCATGATGGGTAGGGGAGAAGAAGCAGATGGAGAAGCTGTGAGTTCCATCTCTAGAGGTCTTTGGAAGAAGACAAGACAAGAATATTGCAAGTAATTATTTGCTCTAGGATGGAATAGTGAAGTAGATGATCTCTTCAGACATCTTTCAGCCCCTGTTTGTTGGTGCTATTGTGATTCTCTCAATTTCTTTAAAAATAATCAGAGATAAGTGTGCTCGGTTTCTCTCAGTTTACAAAGGTGCCACACTTGTATCTAGTGCCACACTTACATCTAGTTCAGCACTTTATGGCTTGAAAAGTGTCTTTTGATTGAATAAAAATTTGATTTCTTGATTTGTGTTAACTAGCACCATGTTTATTTTCAGCATTTGTGTTGCGTTTGGGCCTGTTGGACTCAGCATCGATTAAGAAGCTATAAATTTTTTTATTTTTTAATCTGTTCACAAATGTTCAGTTGAAAAAGAAAAGGCAGTTGTGGAGAGGGATTATAATTCTATTGGTGCCATTGTGCAAGTAACTATAAATGAGAAGTCAGCTGCAGCTGAAGGGAGCTCCTTGGATTCCTGTGTTAGCTGAAAATCCAGGCTGAGTGTTGTGTTCCCTGGCAGAAATGCAGTGCCTGCAGTGGAGCTGGGAAATCAACCTCTGGGGGCTCAGGTTACTTTTGATGCTTTGAGCAAACAGCTCCATTCCCACAATGTTTCAATGTGCAGAATTAACCAAGGAGATCTTCTAAACTTAAATAAATCCGCAGATTTTTTTTTTTTTCTTTTTTTTTATGGTGGTGTTTCTATGTGAAGTATTAAAATTCATAGGAAATGGGACATAATAGTGAAGGACAGGCCATATTTTAGAAGGTTTTGCTCCCTAGAGCCTTTTAGAAGTCTGTAAGTAACTGGGTGGCTAGAGTAGTTCCTGATAAGAATTTGATCATTTAAATAAACTTTTAGTTGCTAACAAAAAACTTCTAATTTTCTTTCAGTAATTTCTAGGAATAACACACCTATAGCAACTTTTGCCACTTGAAAGTAAATACGAGATTCATTGACTTTGGAAAAAGACTGTGGAAAGTAGATATTTCAAATTAAATGGGTTTTGTTTTGGTAAAATGGTTTTTTCCACTGAAATTATAACTTTCTAGAAAATATCAGTCTATTCATTTACCACTCTTGAATGCTGGAAATGAGAGAGGATTCAAAATACCTTAAAAAAGGTACACTCTTAATGTACATTAATTTTTAATGTACAGTAAGTACAGGTTTAATATGTATGAAATAAACACTTCTTGTCTATGCACACATTTTTTCATATTTTTTGTCATGTAAAAACTGCTTAATATACAAAACTTTTATTAACTGTTGCTTGAAATTTGAACTGTAAAAATTCTCACTGCACTTTTTTTTCCCTCCCAGTCACAGGTGAACCATCATTCATCCAATAATGAAACTTATCAAGAAAGGTTGGCACGATTAGAAGGTGATAAAGAGTCGCTTATCCTGCAGGTATGTCCAAAAGAGAGAAGAATTTTGTCTGCATAGTTGATATCCAGTGCATAAAAGCTGAAGTGGCAGAGTATTTTCTGTTAAACAAATGTTAGCAGGTCGCCAAACGTAGCTGATGTTTAACTGGGAATTAATTTGTAATCTGTATCATCCCTCTAAATGACTTTGTGATGGGGCAAGCTGATAGAGGACAGAGGTGTAACAGCAGAAAAAGTGGGGGGATGACAAAGGGATTAAAAATAATTCTGTCCCAGGCCACTGCTGGGATGGTGGTTCTCATTGTAGGTTTGCTAGGTTGTGCCAATTTTCTAGGTTCTGTGTGCCACCATTTTTAGTGAGCCAGAAGACTGGCAGGTAGATGGAACTGGCATTTTTCCTGTTTATATGCTGTACCAAAATTTTTTACATCTTCGAAGAGCTTAAAGGGGAGGGAAACAGGCATAGAGAAAATTTGACAGTAAAATGCATGCCTAAGCTCTTCCAGGTTTCCTGTTTCTTAGTTTACCAAGCTTTTTTTTCAAGATCCCATGTCCCATGTAAGCTCTCCTCCTGCAGAACACACGTTGCACAACTTCAAAAAAAAAATACTTTTTCTGTGTATTTTTGCTAGTACTAAACTGTATATTCCACGCTTTTTAAAAAGTGGAGCTGGAGATTGTTCAAATGTCTTTGCAGATCCTTTCCCTTTATGCTTTCAAATGCATATTATAAGCACATATATTTATATCAAACAAAGTTGAAGTCTGTTGGGTGGGTGTTCTCCCTGCTTTCAGTCACAAGTTTCTGTAAACATGTCTTGTCCTGTATGTTCTGCTCACACTTGTGTTCATTTACTGAGCAGAAGCCTCACTGCTGTTGTTAAATAAACAATGAATGTTTTGAGACACAAGCTTTGGCTTGGTTGGATTTTTTTTTAATTACTGTTAAACTAAATTGCTATTACCAAATTTAGGAAAAAAAAGTCCCCTGACTGAAAAACAATCTTCTAGTTGGAATTTAGGTGTGTGCTACAAATTCCTTTTATAATTTAGATTTATTAGAACACGTTTTATTAATCAACTGTTTGTTAATGCTAGAAACTCGATCCTATTAGTAAAAGCAAACAACTTCTCACACTGTACATTGATGTTTTGAATGCATGAGCAGCTCATGAGTGGAGAGACAATTAGGGGGCCAAATCCAGCTGTTCCATCCAGAGCTGAGGGTGGGACTGTGCACCTGGGAGGGTCTCCTGTGTTCCCCACATTTCTGTGCAGCTTCTGTGGGTCTGACAGGGCCAGTGCTGATGGCTCCCTGCAGACTGTGCCAGGCTGCTGCTCAGGATGTGCTTTTCCTCTCTTTGTCCTGCAGATTTTCAATCACTATTTCTTCATCCACACAAACAGGTACCCAGAGAAGCAGCCAGCCAAATGTACAAAACACAGGGGTTTGTGACATGTTTTGGGACCTGCCTAGAGTTTTTCTTAGAAGGAATAGAGTAAAATCAGAACTGGAAAATAATCTCTCTTGCATTTTACTCCCATCACTTCCACCCCCCATAAAACCCAAAGGCTTAGTCAATATTTAAGCATTTTCCTGTCCCACTGCACAGCATTGCTGTGGAACTGCAAAAAACCCAGGCAAATAAGACAAAAAAAATCAGTCTGGAAGGTGAACATCAACAACAAAGGTGCCAAGGTAGAGCTGGGTTTAGGACCTGGCTTACAGCAGCTCCTCTGTCCAGGCAGTCAAATACGAGGAGCACAGGCAAACCCCAGGCTGAGATTCGTGGCCAGGGGGACTCTGCTGGTGCAAAGCTGCTGCTGGCTGTGACCTGGGCAGGAAGGATGAGAGAAGAAAGGGAGCAGAGCACCTCTGTTCTGTGCCTCATGCTGAATTGCACCAGCCACTGACCCACAGCTGCAGGCTGGAGGGAATGGGAGGCTGGGAGCACCCCAGCCTGGCCTCAGACTTTTAATCCTTTCTAACACTCCAATTTTAACTAAGTGCTCAATGCCCCTCACTTTTACAGAAAATATATTACCTACAGGCTGAGTCTTGCAGGTGTTCCACTCCTAAAGCAAAATGGAATTGCCAGCCTAGCATAAACTGGGATTTTGTTCTGGGTGCAGCCTTCGGATTCCTTGAAGAATCTGGCAGATGTGATCCTGGACAGAGGGGAAAATATGAGCTCCAAGTGGCTGATGTGCCTCTCAGCCCAGCAGCTGGAACACCCAACACATGCTTCTAAAGCTGCTAAGCTTTCACTAAATTCCTTTGCAGGTCACATTTAACATGAAGAGTTTTCTTTCCAGGTTGAAGTGGCATTTAAACCTAACCTGAAGCTCTAAATAAAGCTGGTTTTCTTTCTCTGGAACTTGCATCACACTGAAGGAGAGAATTCAGTTTGCCCCTTCATTCCTTCTGACCTCACATGGGGTTTTTTTTGTGTGTATCATCCCTCATTTAATGGGAACAAAACAAACTAGCCAAGCAAGAGATTTCCTTGCAGGGAGTTCTCCTGCCCCAGCTTGGATGTGTCCCCCTGCCATCTGCCTCCACCCACTCTTTCCAATCATCTCTCATCCTGAGTTCAGCTGTACTCTAAGCTACAGAAAACTACTTCAACAGGAAAAAAAAATTGGTTTTCTTTTTATTTTTTTTTTAATTTTTTTCTATGATTTTTTTTTTCCCAGGCATGCTTGGCATTATGTCAGCAGGTAAAAGAAATACAGACATCTCCCTCCACAGCTTCCCTGAAGTGAACTCAATTGTTCATTGGGTTTTAGACATGCTGTGTAGTGGATGTATCTTAAAAGTTTCACTTCCACATACTGTACATTTTTTATTTTGTTTTATTAATAAAGGTGTTGCAAGATTGGATGTGAGAGCATCTATAAGTTTTTGTTCATGCATTTTCTTCAAAATTGAGTTTAAACAACTTAGGCTCCTTTGTTTGTTTGTTTGTTTTAGATAATATTTTACTAGAATAATCAATGCTTTATATAAATAAATAGTCACAATGAATTAACGAGTATATGGTCTCCACTGGGTTTTTCCCCATATCTTTCTAACATCAAAACTTGGTGCAGTTTTTTCTGCTTTGCAAGTTTTGGGTTCAGCTGCTGGGCTTTTTGTACTGCACACTCACTTCTCTGTACACAATTCCCACAGCTCTTTACCAGGATCGCTTACTGTTTCTTTTCCTGGGGTTCATTGTCTGCATCTCCCTGCTTTTACTTTCATGTTTTGGCTTGCCAAAGCCTGGGATTCTTTGTTGGAATAGAACTTTGCCACAGCTAAAACTTGCCTTTTACTCATTGCATTCTTTATAGCTTCAGAACTCCTTATTGATTGAACTATCAATAAAGTTTTGTTCTTGTAAGGAGTAAAGTAATTAGTTGGGTTGGGAAGGAAGAGTTTTCCTGCATATCTGTTTTAGGGAGTGAAATGCCAACAGCACCTGAAATAGCGATGCACGCTCCAAAACCACATAAAATATTTCCTCTGTTATTGTTTGCTCCTTTCCAATTTTCCAGACTTTTACATGAAGGGACCCAGTCTACCTGCAGGTAGCATTCCACCTCTCCTTGAAATGCCCTTTCTTTTTTATATCAAAACAAAACAGTTGCAGGGGAGGGGAGATGAGAGGGCGGGGTTGCAGTGAAATAGAGGTAAGGCTGCAAAACTTCTGCCTTGGTAGAGCAGGTTGCTGCAGTGCACAAGAATATTAAAACATTGAGAGCTTTAAAAGGGAACTTCTTGTCAAAACGTGCATTTGGATGTTATATGCATAAGGTAATTGAAACTTATTTACAGTCAGTTCAGTAGCACTTTGCTTCTCCTCTCAAATTACAGGTGAGTGTTCTCACAGACCAGGTGGAAGCTCAAGGAGAGAAAATCCGGGACTTAGAAATCTGTCTTGAGGGCCATCAGTTGAAGCTGAATGCTACAGAAGAAATGCTCCAACAGGTAAAAATCTGGATTGCAGACCTTCTCCAGAGGTGGGGTGAGCACACATGGTCAGCTTGTCTGCATGTGTGACTGCCTTTGGCAACAGGATAAAAGAGAGGAAGAAAAAAAGCTTCTTTTATTGTTCTCCTCCTGCTTTGCACTTTTTTTTTTTTTTCCTCAATAAATGTTTCTTTGTTTTCCTGTTGCAGAGAAGTTTTACGGGCTGGTTGCATAATGCTGTACGTGGCAGCATGTAAAATGAAACTATTTGTCTTATTTGAACTGTGCTTATTTGGACATGGCTGAGTAACTGGTTAGACAGGTTAAATGTATCTAATACATGTAGGAGTTATAGAATTAAGAGGTTTTATTTAAATGCCTTCTGTTTTTCTATGGCTTTGAAGTTGAACAAGCAGCAAATTGAAATTAATTACTGTATCAAGTTCTGTTCTATTTTCTTTTAACTTTGGAGCTTTCCCCTCATTTTGATATAAGAAAATCAGTATAGAAAGACATTTTTTTATTTATTTCAGTCAACAGTTTCAGGCTGTGTCATTTAATTTTTGCTCTTTGATGTTCTATGTTGAGGGAGCAGAGCAAATGATAATTTAAATATGTCACAGAACTTGCAGGTCTGTTGATGCCAAAGTCCTTTCCCTGTGCAATTTTCTGTTGTTACAGATGCAAATCACCCACTGTTAATGCAGTGCATAAGATACCAAAAATATATTTGAAACTGTAAATAAACCTCAAAAATCTATGCCAGATTTTTTTTAGGATAGATACTGTTCTTGATGAGCTTAGTTCTTCACCACACACAAATACTTTGTGTTGTAAATTTGCTATTTTAGTCCATGTGAGACAAGCCTTTTTATTAACTGATGGTAGCTTTAAATTATGATAAAGATCCTTGTGCACGTATATGTAAACAGCAGTAGTTTCTAAAAGATAAAATTATATCCTAAACATTTTAAATTATAATTCTCAGAGGTTCTTGAAAAAAACTTCCATCTCACACAGTCCAAAATGCTTCCAGCTGGGCTGTATTCTGAGGGGACATCTTTAAAAAGGCAAACAGTGAGTGCATGTAGTTTTACAGTGGAAAACTGGAAGTGGAAATCAAATTATTGAGTTATTACAGTGATTATTTAAGTTGTGAAAATCTGGTTTCAGGCTCCAGGAAGGCATTCACAACAGAGGGCAGAAGCTCCCTGCCCCAGTCTAAATCTAGACAGTTTTTCTGTGACTTCTGCTGAAACTGCTTATTCTTTCTCTGACTTAAAATGTTTTGCCAGATATGCTTCTGAGGAAACTGGGAACTTAAAGCCTTATTTACCAGAACACTGAGGCACCTGAAAATAGAATATAATGTTGCAGGAACATTGCCATTTTAGTGAAAATGGTTGCATCTGCTTGTCTGGCCTTAGGCACATGCACAAATCGCTTACAAAGCTGATCCTAAAGTGATAAGCTGCAAAAGGCTGTACCAAAGCTAAATAAGTGAGAGAATCTCCAGATATGTCTAAAATAAGCCTTAAATCTAAATTTTGGGATAACTTTGAGCAGCTGTAGTTGTTGCTTCTCCCAGTAGATAGTGGGATATGGGAAACCCAAGTTAGGTCTCTCAGCAGACAGAGAAGTTGTACATTTGTTCTCTCAGCAGAGGATCCTATTTAATATCATTTATTTTGAAGGTTCTCCATTCACCTTGTTGAAAATATTATCCCCTGTGGAGATGAGTTGAGATTTGGGCAGAAGAGAATGACCTGATTGTGTGGTGATCATGACATTCATGCCAGATATGCGGCCAGTGGACGTTTCTGCAGATAATTTGTCAAAAGTAGAGTGAATGTGTGGCTTCAGGGGTTTCAGTAGATAAATCAGTCAGGTTTTGGGGAGATTCGGGTTCAGATCTTCTCAGCCAGCAGCTGCTGCTGGTGTCCTGCTTTTCAGAATGACTTCTGTTACCCTCTTGAGACGGGATGTAGTGTAAATTCGGATTTATTTCATGGTTCTGCTTCCTTATTTACAATATATTGAACTCCATTGATTTTTTGTCTTTGTGAACTTAAGTCAGCTGCTTCCTCTAAGTGGAAAATGGAACAGCAAAGATAAAGCCCTGTCTTTTTAATTTCAAGAACTAGAGTGACTTATAATTAATTCTGTGCAAAAAATGCTTCAATAAAAAAATATGTAAACTTTGAGATAACCTAATGATGGTATCTGGAAGTTCCACAGCAGAAAGGGTATCTAATGCCACCCTACAAAGTAGTTTTTGCTGAATCTGTGCTAGCAGAGACTTGTCAGGGTGGGGTTACTGGCAAAAAAAACCCTTCTGGCTTATGATTTATGCACCGTTGTTTTGAACCCTGCTACAAAGCGATCATGGAACCACTTCTGAAACAGCAACTGAAATAAAAGTTATACAAATAACATAAAAAGTGGCTGTTCAGCATTTTGGGTGGGCATCTTGAATGTGGAGTAGCCGCAGCAGGGGAGAAGGGAAGAAAGATTCTCCTTCCACCCTCCTCCTGACCGTGTTTGAGGCACTGATTTGAGCCTGTCATGCTCAGCAAACCTTTTCCTCCACAACTGCAAGAAAATTCATTTGGGATTTAGGAGGAAGGGGCTGGTTTTGTGATGGCTGAGTCAAACAGCTGACAGCAAAGGTCAAGGTGTGGCAGAAGGGCAATGGAGAGATGTGCTTTGACCTCAGTGTTTATGGAAGCACAGCCAAGGAAAATCCAGCTGAGCAGCATTTGAGCAATGAGAGGATCCCGTGTGAGAGATGCAGAGATGCCCTGGTGTGCACAGGCACAGATAATGTGATGCTTAAGGCATCAAACCCTACCTTTTACTTTTGTAAGGACACTTTTTCCACCATGGATTGTAATTAGGAAAAGCATTTTTCCACCTTGAAGGTGTCTGTGTTTTCTTCCTTCAAGAAAACAAAGCAGGCCTTTTCAAAACTCACAAAAGTCAATGGCAAAACTTTAATTCAGTCCTGAAGTATAATTCAGGTTTGGGCCAAGAAACAAGGTCATCCTCCATAGTAAATGCAACAGAAAATTTTCTGGAATATGGCTGGCAGCAAGACACAAGTTTAATTTCATGGAATTACCTTCCAGTGGGGTGTCTGTCCTGCTCCTGGATGTTTGAAGGACATGGAAAGGCTGGCCCGTGTGAACAGATGCCTGCCTTTCCCCTTGGCACATTGCAATGGAGATGTCCAGAAGTAAAATTAAAAAAAAACTTCCTACAGTTGTCCTAGGGAAACAATTTATGCTGTGACAACACATTTCCAGTATATCAACTGCTTTAAATTGTAAAGTTACAGCCAATTTGAGAGAGCAATGATGTGAGTTTTTTGTTTGTTTGTTTTTTGGTTTTCTTTTTGGGAAGAGAGTGGACCTTGAGGGAATCTCCTATCAACATGCTGTGGAATTGGAAAGCAGAAGTAATTTCTGTTCCATCAATTTGCCTAAACTGTCCCATAAAATAGAGTACCAGCCATGCCTGATGTGTACATATCGGTGCTGTGGAATCTGTGCTGTCAGGCTTGGCAGCTGTGTCACGTCCATCTGAAAAGTGAACTTCTGCACACACAGATTTCACCTCCACGGTGTCTATGTGTGCATTTTTTGGTAATTGTCATGAGTAAATCTCTAGTTTGTTACCTCTTTGCTATTCCAGAGCTGCATTTTATTTGGTTAACAGATAGCAATTTCCACTGGAGCTCTCTGGCATAAGGGGCAGCAGTTTGCTTAGCCAAGGACATTTCTGGTCTGGGTGGCAGGGTCTTTCCAATCAAATCCTGGATGTGGTCTGACCACGTCCTTCTGCCTTCCAAATAATTCCTGACACAATCTAGGGGACTCTGGTTGGATGGTTTTGCTGTGTGAACACGATTGTGCCTTCAATCAAGTGAATTCTCTTAAAAAGCACAAAGGACTTGGTTTAAAGATTGTTTGTGCCTTAAAAAAAAAAAAATACACATAAAAACTGAAATGCTTGGGTGTAAAGAGGAGTGGATCTCTGTTATGGTGTCACTTTATGGCCCACTTCTGTCTGAGTGCAAGGGCCAGAGGAAGGTGTGCCAGACAGTAGAGAACCTTTAAAAACTGCATTACAAGCATGCAGTGAGGAGCTGTATCAAAGTAGGAACTTGAATCCAACACCGTTCAGTGTGTACCTGCTCTGGTTTTGCAGCTGTCTCATGCTCAGGGGAGCCAGAATCCTGCCTTGGTTGCAGGGTATAAATCTGGTGTGTATCTGTTTGCTCCTCAGGAACTTTGCTGGCTGGCAAAGACCATTCCTTCAACTTTCAGTTGCCTGAGTTATCTGATCTTAGATGAATTTCAGCACTTGTTTATAGCATGCAGGAGCTTCTTGCCAGCAGCTGGCTTAGTGCTTCAGATTTTGAAGTGTGCTTTGTGCTGCTCTGGTTGAGCTCTAAGGATTTCAGAGCGTGCTCTCAAGCTGTGCAGCTTTATTTCTCCAGGTGAGCACACCACTTTGCTCTTTTGGAGTTAACGTGGGCAGGAATCTGCTCCTCAGGCAGATCCAAGGGCTGGTCAAGTTGGCAGGGCTATGGGAAGCTCTGTCCTTTCCCTGCCTTAACCATATAATGGGCAAATGATGAATTGGAGGGCTGTAATTCCCTGCCTGCTACTGCCTTGCACCATTTCATGGTGATTGCACACGTACATGGCTCTCAGCTGTGCTTCCAGCTAAGCAAATATCTTATTTCTGCCACAGCTGACACACAGCACTTGAGAAGTGCAGTTCTCATTAGGGGGGGCTTCTGGCTGCATTTTGCTTCCCAGGTAGGTAGCTTGGTCTGTCTGTCTCTCCCTAGGTTTTTAATAAGGGTGAAAAGTGAGGGATTTTTCAAATACTGTATTTTGTGTGGTGCACAAGTGCAAAAGGGGATCTTTGGTTGTTTTTTTTTTTTTTCCCCTCCTCACTTGACTAAAATCTCACTTATGGTTTCTCAATCAGTGTATGGCATGATTGTTTCTTCTGTTTTGTGGAGAGCTAAATATCCTGGAATTTTCTGTGCTTGCAGCTGAGAGCTAAAAAATTGTAATATCCTCTTTTCAAACTATTTTTGTCATGTTATATTTATCAACTGTTTTATAAGGATTGTATATTTCCAAGACAACTAAATGTGAGAGTGAGATATACAGCATGGGCTACAGCTTCATTTGCAATACTGGAAAAGTTAAGTACTTTAGAAATATACAGTGTGAGTTTTAAAAAGAGTGTTGTGTTTGGAAATAGTTTGCTACTCTTTGCTCTGTCTGGTACACATATATCATCACTTCTGCATGCCTCCTCAATTTTTAAAGTTAAAAGTTGAGTTTAGAAAGAACTCATTTAAGAAGGTAAATTACACTTACATAGTATAATGCATAGTACATTTTAAAACTAAAAATAAGTATCTTGTTTCTGAAGAAGACTCCCTAGGATATGTTCTGTATCTGTTCTGTTTTTCAGCTAAGATCCTCCTAAAGCTGCTACAGCCTAAATTGCCATTTTGCCTGTCTTATATTATCCTTTTTTGCTTTCAAACCAATAACAGAAATTTGTATTTTCTTTTCTTACAATTGCATATTTATTCTGGCTGAATTCAAGTTGCATCATACCGCTGCAATACACTATAATTTCTCTGTAACAAAATGGTTCACATTCTTAATGAGCTGTTCGCTGCGAGCATCTGCTTGAAGATGAAAATAATTGCTTCCAGATGTTCCCATTTCAAGAGGAGACATTTACTTTAAACGGCACTAGCTTTCAAAGCACAAGTTGTGTCCTCTGGATGCAAGAGGAATTGTCAGCTGTTTTAAATCACTGGAGCTCCATTGAAAACAAACTAGGGGTAGTTAGCTGGTTTGCCTATTTTAAGTCACGAGATTTATGCCAGTTTACTCCAGCTGAGAATCTGATTCCCCAGTGTCAGAGCAAATGGTAAAATGTTGTTTGAGCTGCTTTAAAAGCAAAGCAAACCCAAGCAGCTGCCTTCCTGCTCTCCTGGACCAGGTAGTGCTTCCACGTTCACACAGGGCTCCTGAACTTGGGCAGAGAGGAGTGAGTGTGGATTGCTCTGCACAACAAAGGGTAATTTAGGGGTCTGTAGGAAAAATAAGAAGTAATGCCAGATGGTTCACTCAAAGGAAAGATCTTTTGTTTAAAATCCCTAGAGGGACGCTGTGGCTCCTTGCCTTATTAAGAAATATTCCTCCCGTATCATAGAATACCATATCAGTGCCCAAAAAAATTCTAAATGTTGTTTTAGCTCAAAAGTTAATAGAGTCTGTCCATGGGGGCAGAGTTGCCTCATCTTGCTCTTCTTTCTGATATTCAGTGGCTTTATTTTGTATCAAAGCTCCCATTTTTAACTCTGCCTTGACCTGCAGCAGTCTGCTCTCTTAACAGCTGTGCAGGCTGTTCCAGTCTGGACTGGGATGTGCCTCTGAAACTCCTGCAAATTAGTGTTATTCTGGAAGACAGAGGAGTTATTTGTAATTATAATTCTAATTTGTAATCACCTGTGTAGAAAGCAGCTCCTCCTGGGATTTCATTAAGTGACTGTCTCTTAGAATGCTTCAATTAGAAAAAGTCAGTGCAATATCTTTTCCTGATTAGTGCTTGATTTATTTCATTCAGAGAAGACAAAAAAAAGAAAAAAAAAAAGTCAAAACCATGAGGCTACATTTCTGTTTATTTTCCCATCCATCCACAAATATCATTGCCAATGTCAGCAGGAATGGGCATGGCATTGGGAATAGTGGGTGGCTTAGATAATTGGTGTTGCAATACAGATGAGAGTTTACTGCTATTTTTAATTTGTGCAATATTCCCCACCAGACTAAAATAACTTACATGTAGAGCAGATTTTGAAATAAACTTTAATTCTGTAATCTTTGAAGTAACCTTTGTGGATTCTCCAAGCCATGGTTTACAGTGTACTGTACAGTCTGGGGCAGAGGAAGAGATGAGAAAAGGCTGCTGGACATGGTGATTTCAGATCCTTTAGTAACATCAGCACAGATCCAGATTAACTGTGACAGATTAACTTCAGTTAAATCACTGCCATGTAACTCAAAGCACAGTCTGCTGTGATTCCTCAGTGTGATTCATGTGATCAACACACTAATGGGATTTATGAATTATCATAAAATCCTTTAACCATTTGGAAGCCTACATTCTTTCATTAAAAATCCATTTGGAGCTTGGAAAACTAAGTATGAATTTTTCAGTAAAGCTTAAAGTCCTGATGGGACTTTTTTATTTTTGAAAATGGAGGTGAGAGAGGCATTTGATGTATGTAATACTCTCGGTTAAATTTTGGATGGTTTCTTGCCTTGGCTTTCCTGAAAAATGAAATAATCAATGAAGGTGTGAATGTTGACCATTCTCCAAACACACTGATAGCACTCCATCCACAGCATGTCTGCTCTGCAATCTGCAAAACAAACCTGGGGCACACAAGCAAAAGCCATGACCAGATGTTTCTCCTGTACACTCTTTCTTAGTTTAGACACTGCCTTTTAGACTCCAGTCAGGACATTTCTTTCACTGCAGTTCCCTCCACACTGTGCAGCTCTCAAAAGCCATCCAATACTACATGGTGTAAGTTACTATTTGTTGGTGTAGAGGTGTTGCTTGCCTCTGCTACTCAATTTGGGTTAAGGTGCTCATTCTGCAATACATCCTTTATGGGAAAACACGTGACAAGAAGGTCTGCAGGGTAATCCTAAAGAATAACTTTGGCTGATGAGTGTTTTAGGAAGACGCCAACTCTTTTGTAATGCACCATTATGTAGGTTTAGTTTTGTTCAGCCTCAGTATTGTTTTTGATTTCATGTCTAGCCCAGGGATTAACTTTACCACACATTTGTTTGAAATAAGGAGTGGGGACACGATGGTTTGGTGATTAACACAGAACATTTAGGTGAAAATAACTGCAGCACTTGAGAAACACACTGAGGTTCGTACTGAGGCTTTAATATGGGCCTGCAAGAATACACATGGCAGTCTATCAGTGCTCACATAAATAACTGGGGGAATTGTTCTGCTTTGCTCTCAGGAGCTGCTAAGTCGCACATCGCTGGAGACTCAGAAATTAGATCTGATGGCTGAAGTCTCAGACCTGAAGATTAAGCTGGTTGGGATGGAAAAGGAGCAGAGTGAATATGAAGAGAAACAGAACAAAGCTGAGGTGAGTTTCTTTCATTAGTTGGTTTTTTTTTTGGTTTTTTTTTTCCATGTCACACACCTGAGCTTTTGGGCTGAAAGCAGCAGGGAATAGGATTTCCCATGCCTGCAGCACAGCCCATATCACCAATCCTATGAATTTAGTGAGGAGTAGGATTAGGCATTTTCAGCATGCGGTTTCTTTTGCTTCCTCTCTCTCATCATACTTCAGAGGTTGCTGTTTGGCTTTCATCAAGGCAGAGTCCCCTCCAGAAGCATTTATTGCAGTGGGTGTTCCCTTAACCCTTTCCTTTCCCTGGGAGCTGGACTGGCATGGCTGTGCCAGGCCTACCAGAGCTCTCTCCTCATTTTTGTGGCAGAAAAGACTGTCAGCTCAGTAGTGTCAGGGGTGCCACAAGCACTGAGATCAGGAATCTTAATGTATTTTAAATGGCACATGGGAGGAGATTTGCCTTAAATGTGTCTTTCCCCTTGTGGCTACATAATAAACAGTGAAAAAAAATATCATGGGTTGGACGCTGTTCCAATTACTCCCTTTCAGATGTGGAGAGTTCTGGACATCAAAGGAGCTTTGGGTTTTGCTGTATTGGTTAAGAAAGAGAGCATGAAACAGGGAATTCATCTGAGCAACATCCATACCATGGTGGTGAGCAGCAGGTGGGAGCTGGGAAAGAAAGCAATCGTGGAAGAGACAAATTCATACAAATTGCCATGTGTTGCTCTACTCAGTGGTCCTGTAAGGGGACCTGCTAGCAGGAGAGGACTGCCTGGAAAGAGAGGGTTGCTGAGTCTGAGATTTATACATTGCTGACTGGGAGGGAAAAAAAAAAAAAAAGCCCACACCCAAACTTTGTTCCATATTGACTTAGGAGGATTTGAAGTCCAGGCAGAATTAGGAGCTGTTTGCTCTCCATAACTCTGCCAGTGGAATAGGTGATAACTATGCATCAGTACTTTGCCTGCAGTGACGTAGCTCATTTGGGGTGTGTTTGCTTTCAACTTATTTATTCTCTGAAGTTTTGTTTAGAGATTCAAAGATAACGTAAAGAGAACAATTTCTGGCAGAGCTTACAAGCCAGAGAGGCACCAGCTGCTGTTTTTACCACCTGTGGCCCTTCTTGTGCTCTTTCAGGCATAATTGCCAGTGCCTTGTGTACAGAAAGGGCCTGAGCACTCTCAAGCTACCTGAAAATCTGAACAGGTCTGAGCAGCATCTGATGGCTACAGATGGCAGCTTGCTCCCAGCTCCTTCCATAAGAGTGGAATACAGGGCTCAGGGTGCCTAAATTATTGCAGGGCATGCACAGCCAGCCTGGCTCCTGGAAAGCAGCTGAGATTTTTGGGTGCATTTTTATGGACAGGACTGGTCCTGGGAGCTGGGAAATTCTGCTGCTTGCTGCAGTGAGGTTTGTGCCCCCTTGGGTGGAAAAGTTGAGCTTTACCAGCCTGGATGCCTTTATGGCATTGCAAAGCGATAGGACACGTTCCTGCTGAGATGGAAAAAAGGATTCTAATCTGATGGAAAAGTTGAGAATCATTGAGCGTGTGCTGAATTATTAACTACCCCAAGGTGTGATTAGGTTTCTGGCATTTTGGAAGTTGCAAACCTTTGTGTGTGGCAAAGCAAAGTGGGTGTTGTAAGGAAAGGTATGGGACACAAACAGCAGCATTTTTGGTTTGCTCGTTGAGTGATTTGTGTATCTGTTTCAGATTCTCCTGAATAAGCATTAATCCTGTTTATCAGGAGTTGCTTTCAATCAAATTAGATGCTTAGTTGAATTCTAATGCTTTAACCCTATTGCTGCTCCTTTTCCTGTAAATTATACTAATTTTTCAATACAGACATGATTTCAAACATCAGAATGAAATTTATTGGTGTTCTTTACATTATTAGACTACAGCTGCTTAAATTTGGTAATATTTTGAGTGTTTTCCTGAACTCTTTGCCTCCACTGCTCAACTACATCTTTCTAATGAAGAAACCACTTTGATAAAAACAGTCTACTTGTAGTTTGCTCTTGGTTTTGGCATCCAGTAGTTAAACCATTTTAAACATCTTGTTCAGATACTTCATGGTTGACCCTGCTATTTCTAAATATAATAATGGGGCTTAAAAGGTTTAAAATTAAATGTGGCGTTTCAGGACCATTCCACTCAACCATGTTTTCTCTCTATTCTAATTTTGTGTTGGCTTATTTCACAGCAGCTGTTTCCAGTCACGTAGAATTTATCTATAGAATTATTTTTCTGATTGGGCTGGGAGGAAAGAAAGCAAATTAAAACATCCTTTTAAATAAGATTTTTAATGTGTAAGATTGGTTTCAATTTATCTTGTGCAGCTGTCATTTAGGTTTGGTTTTAGTGAGCAGTAAAGAGTTTATCAAGCATCTCTAACCTCCTCTCAGAGGTATCGATTTCACACTGAATGCCACTTGTCTCTGGCTCTTCAAAAGTACATACTAAATATAAAGTGCCATTTATTTATGTATATTACAGATGGACCAGGAGCATAGCTGCTTGTACATGGGCTATCTCACTCCTGGCTTTGTCACTTTAATTCCTTTTCTGGGGAATAAATCCTACTTTTGACACAGTAATGCTGTGAAGGTTTCTGGACTCTCACCTGAAGGGGTTGTGTAGATTTTCTCTTACCTGAGGAGCCTCAGAAATTTTGAAAATGTTTTTTTCTTAATGTAGCAAGGTATGAGGAAGCAGCATTGTCATAAGATTTATGGCTGCCCAGATGTCTGCTCTACCTGAATGTGGACAAAAGAGACTTTCTGTCTGTCCTGCTTCTTCCTTTTGTAGCGTGGGATAAGTCTGTGGGTCTGGCTGTAAGCTGCTGGCAAGTATTTTGTGGCTCTTGTAACTTCTGAATTAAATATCTAGTGCAAAGCTACTTGCAATTCCAAAGAAACCTGAGTCAGTGAGGCACTGACTCCCTCTGGGGAGTCTGGTGTGCTGTCTCATCTGAATCAAGGTGTTGTAGTTAGTGTTAATGAATGTTCATGCTGGGAAAGAACCTCAAAAAGGCCTGTTCTACCTTGAAACTGGAAAAAATTGCAAAGGCTCAAGCTGGAGTTCCACTGGGATAAGGGTTTCTGTCGTTTCTGTTCCATCAAATTGGCCCTGTGGGGTCTGTGGATGTTTCCCTTTCCCCTTTTTTAATAAGACAATTAGAGGATTTTAATAAGGCAAGAGGATTGCAAGGCAGCAGCATCCAGAACCTGGTGTGGGTTAACAGAGCTCTTGCCAAAGAGGAGCACAAACCAAGCCCTGGAGCTAAAAGAGGGCGAGGGAGATGGATGTGAGTGTCCTGCCAGCTCCCATGCTCAGCTGGTGCTGCTCTAGGAGGTACCTGATTGTGGAGAGGATGGTAAAAAAGCAAATCTAATCCTTGTCTATGTCCATTAAAGGTTTACTGGGTGAAAGAGGATGAGCATCAGACACTGTGATCCTAATTGAGCATAGTATGTATAAAGTAAAATCGCTTTGTTGAATTTCATCTTAAACAGTGAGCTAGAAAAATGTGTGAAACTCTTCTGTGTGAGTTAGGGGAATCTCTGTGAATGTTTAAAATTGCCTGTGAATGCTGTTATTGCCCTGTCCTTGCTATACCCTAGCTTAAGACTCCTCATTTTACTGCAGAGTTGAGGTTACAGGAGGATTGTTGAGGCAACTCTAATGAAGAAAATAATTTAAAAATTATTTGCCATGTCATCTGTTGTTCTGTCCACCAAAATCTTTTTCTGTCCTTTGAAAGATGGATTAAACTCCTCAAATTTGTTCCACTTGAGAAGATTGAGAAACCACAAAACTTACATTATTAGTGTCCATGAAAGCTGAGAGAAAAGCACTTCAGACTCTTAATACCTGAAAAAATACTCAGTGCTATTTGCTACACAGTTGGGGAATTTAAGTGAAATATCTTATGGATTTTTATACTTGACTTTGGTTTGCTTTCTAAGCTGGATTTTTTGGTGTGTGTATCACTGATACACACACATCCAAGAAGCTGAGCAGCAAACTGGTGCTCTTTAAAATAATGACTTTTTCTTCTGTGTTATCCTCCTGATTTCTCCTGCATCTGTTGCTTAACTCCTCCTCCACCTCAAGATCCTGCCCAGACAGAGAGGTAATAGAGTTATTTTTCTGCCCCATGCTAGAGCTGGAAACAGAATTATTTTGTTAGTGAATTCTGTGTATAAATTATGAAAGAGTAGGCTATGGCCCCAGCTGAGCACTTTGCAGTTTCTTCCTACTGGATGATTTGGAAGTGCAAATGAATGCAATCAACTCCCATTTCAGCAAAAGTGTGCCTGTGAGCCAGCATATTAAAATATGTTCCAAATGATCCCTCACATGATGTAAAACTTTCCAAAAAAAGTTTCTGATCTTAACTTCAGAGTCAGAATCATGAATTGGTCTGGAATGTAGGCTCTGTTCCGTGTAAATTGTGGCTTGTGCAATACTCATTTACATCTACTTTATCAGAAAGGAAACGCATCACCTGTCTTTTTTTTGTTTGCCTTTGATGTGCTTCACCTAGTTCTTTGTGCTGCAACTGTAGAAATATGTTCTTTGCATCATTTTTTTCCTCACCTGTCTTTTCTTTTTGTCTTTTTTTTTTTTCTCCCTTTCCTCCCATGTTTTCAGTCAGTAGTGAACCTGATCAGTGACCTACAGGAGCAGATGTGTAGACTGCAGCTGGAAATTAATAGTAGAATCCAAGAAAGAAAGTCTCAAGATAGGAAAGCAGACTTGACCCCTAATGGTCCTCAATCTGGTGCAAGATCAGTAGAGCCTCTGGGCCAGAAGAATTGCTCTCAGTGTGAAGTATGACAAGCTCCCTTTGGCAGAAGCCTCTGTATTACCTCTTCTCTCTCTCACAGAAACTAAATTCCACTAACCAGAGCTGCCTTGGGAATGTTTTGGCATTAATCTTTGTGGCTTTCATTAGCAAAGAGTGAGAGTGCCATAAAAAATGACCAGAAAAAAAAAAATCTCACCCCAGACTCTTTGCCCCAGTTACTGGGACAAATTTGGTCTTCATTGATGGCTGTCTACTAAAGTACAGAAATCTGTAAAACCCAATTGCCCCTTTCAGATTTTTCACAGTTTCCATTTCACTTTTAAGTCTGCAGCACTGGTGGGGTGTGGGTTTTATGGATTTGGGAGTTGAGATTTGTCTGATGTGCAGCATGTTTTGGCATGGTTTGGTAGTTTGCTATATTTCCTTGTGATGATGGCACCCCAGCTGTGCTTGATGGTGTGGCCTAACCAGTCCTCTGAACACAGATTATATTGATTCCTGGATATCTTAAAAGCTTAACACAGGTATAAAATAATTTCAGCTAAGAATCTCTTTTTTCTATTGAAAAGAGCCATAATAAAAATAATCTGCTGGTACTTTTAAAATAGCAAATCCAACACGGTTTTGTTTATTCCCTGATATTAGCAGGTACCAGAATTTAAATAACAAATCTTGGTTGTATTTGATCAAAAATGTGTCACATGGAAAAACAAAAGCTGCTTTGCATAAATGGCTTCTTATCACTGAAGATGGAATGATACTGGTATGCCTAGAAAAAAACATTTTAATACTTGATTTCAAATCAGATTATTTCCACACCTCTTCAGTTAAAATTTTCATGCTCAGAACTCATAAGTAACCTGCTTGTAATGTGAGAGAATTTTCCAGTAATTTCTCTCAGTGTTACACCTATTTTGAAAATAGTGCTCTTGTTTCTGGGTTTGTTTTTGTGCAGACCTGCTTAATGGACTATTAGAACTGCAGGCTGCAGGTTGGAGAAATAATCTGAGAGTCAAATCTGGGAGCCATTCCTAATAAATCTTAATGTAATCCAAGATGTTAGTGTGGTGCTTAATGTATATACTGAACAGGAGTCCAAAATTGAGTTACTCATTCAAACTTTTCCTTTCCTTAGTTCATTTTAAGACATTTTGTCTTGTCAGAGCCCCATCAAGGTTTTAATAATATTGTCCTTTAGAATGAGCAAGATACAATTCTATCAAGGAATGGGAGAAGGGACATTTAAGCGACAGCTTCTTAGAGCACGTCACAGTTTTTAGTGTGGAAGTTTAATGTTGAATACTGTGTGGTTCATGCATGATCTGTAATTCAGACTGGGAAAAATTAATATCTGCCAGGAAAACCTTACCTTTAATTTCCTTCTTCCTCTGCAGGGTTTGTTACAGGAACTCAGACACCTCAAAATTAAAGTGGAAGAGCTGGAAAATGAAAGAAATCAGTATGAGTGGAAATTGAAAGCAACTAAAGTAAGCACAATCCCTGGTATTTTTAATGACAGGCTTCTATCAGCTGGGAAGAGATATGCTCCATTTGTCATCAATATTTACTTTTCTGACATTTACCTTGTGGCAGGGTAGCTATGAATTCAAGTCGTCTTTAACCATTTTTGGTATAAATATCTTGGTTTGAAGGTGGTGTAGCTTTCTTTGTGCCTTTTGCTCCCTCCATGCAGTTTTCAGTCTGGTACTTCTTGCAACTCTTATTTTAGGAAACCACAAAAGGCATTTTGACTTGCAAAGAGCTGCTCAGGGTAAAGGCCTCTTTGAAGGCTTCCTGGCCTTGATTTGTGTAATGGTGACAGGACCCTGTGGGATTTACTTTCCAGCCTGAGGAGACATGCAAAGTTTGTTGGGTGTTTGCGTACTATGGAATTTGTTTTCATAGACATTAAGCCCAAAATACACCGTTAGATCATCTGCTTTGACTTAGTATATATCACTCTGCGTGGCTGCCTTACACTTTTGTTGACCTTAAATCCTGCAAAGCTGTTGGATCATAATCTGGAGAAACCTGGCATGTCAAACATTTAATAATTTTCCCCAGCAATTAATTTTTCTACTGGAACATTCTCACTGTTATTTCTAGCTTGAATTTTTAGCCCTTTTCTACTGGATTAAAAAGCACCATACAATTTTTCCTTCTTGTGCTGCAATCACATCTTCTTTCATTTGTGTAATAATCCCTGTTGATGTGAGTGACTGACTCTTGACTTGTGGTTGAATCTTGGAGAAACATTTCAAATTATTAAACTGAATTTTCTATTTAATGCTTGATAGCTTGATCCAGACATGACAAACAGCTATTATTTGTATTAGCATTTCTTTCTTTTGAGAATTCTTGGATGAATAAGAGAATGTTGCTGTCATGTCTTTTTTTCTCATTAAGATAATAGTTCTTCAATCCATGAAAATGTTTTCTCTGACGTTGTGGAGATGAGCAGTCTTTGGGAAAATATTTTCTCAAGCAGTGTGTGGCCAGCTGCCAAGACAGATAGAAATTATGGAAAATGTAGGAGCAGAAGGAGAATAGTAAAGAAGAATCATAAAACCCACTGAGGGAGAGAATATGGCAGACTGGAAAGGAAGAGAAAAGTACAAGGAAAGAGAGAGGAAGCAGAAAAGCAATCAGAGATGACAGGAATTAGGCATTAAGTGAAAAAAAGAGCTTTTAAAAGAGCTCTGAGATTGAGTAGACCAGGGGAGGAGGCAAATCCAGATCTGATATTAAGAGGTCTGCAAGCTTTTATCTTCCTGTTGTTCCAGCTGCTTAGATGAGAAATTGGAATATATCCATGGCTTGATATAAAAAGCATATTAGTCAGAGGGAAGCATAGGAGCCCTTCAGAGATGCAACAAGGCAGATTCTTCTATTCCACGTGGAATTTTAGGCAGAGCAGTGATGCTACCCTGCAATCCAACTGCTTGCTTCCTGGTGAAAATAAGTTTGTGTGTTAATTAATCCATGCTTCTCTCTGTTTGGATAATGTTTGGTGGTTTGCATCTTTCCTGCTTTATTTTAATATTTTGAGAAACTGGTCAAATGATTTTTTTAATTCAATATTCAATAATTTTTTTATTCAATTCAATATTTTTTTTTGTCCTTTTTCTTTGCTTTTTTTCTCCCTTTTTCCCTTTTTACCCACTTTTTTTTTTTTTTTTTTTTTTTTTGGTCCTTCATCTGCAAGGAGGCTTGGTGTGCTTTTACAGGGGAAATGCAGAATGTTGACACACAGAGGCTTTGAGACATCTGAAGAAAATCTTATCAAACTGCTGCCTTACTAAAATATGCTGCTAGCAGTTTTTCTCATAAATATAAAAAACTGATTAGAATCACTGCATTTCAAGCTGAAAAATCACAGAATTCTTCTTCCTCTGAGTTGTTGAGTTTTTTCATGTGAGATTTTCTATCCAAATCTAGTGGCAGCTCTAAATCTCCAGTAAATGTATGGTATTCTGTTGCATGTGTGTGGTGGTTTTCCAGGCCATGCTTTCCTTCTATCCTATTTGCTGTTTTGATTAAAAAAACAGTTTTGTCATCTTTCTGAGAAGGCTCAGCATTAATAGATTCTCAGTTATACTAAATAATAGCAATTAGGATTAAAAAAAACCAGTATGTGTTTAAAAATGCTTTGATATCTTTTAGAGGCCTTCATTAAAAGTTTGAGTTCCTTCTAATAATATTAATTGTCATTATTATTATTATTATGTGACTAAGTTTATGGCATTGAGAGCTTTCCAGAGTTTCCTTACCTACATAAATGCCTGGAAAGCATTGTCTGCCTTCTCCAAGAGCTAATTGCATCAGGAAGAATTAGCTTCTCTTATAGCAGTAGCAGCATAAATATGTATTATTGTCCTTGTGTTTGTGAAATATCCTGAGCTCGATCACAGCCTCACTGGGCTGGGACAGACTCACAGGTGGGGATGTTATTCTGACTTTGCTGTGCTGTTTTCCAGGCTGAGATAGCCCAGCTCCAGGAGCAGCTGGCTCTCAAGGATGCAGAGATAGAACGCTTGCAAAGTCAGCTCTCCAGGACCTCCTCATACACTGAAGTGGCAGAAAGAGGTAAGAGGAGGGGAAACAAAATTAAAAATTCAGTTTTAAGTTTGCTTTGGTAGCAGCTTGCAAAGATATACAAAGTAATACAAGAATGGAGTTAAAATTTATTATGGGAGGAAAAGTAGTGTCAATTCATTTTGTGTTCTGGTCAAGTAAGAGGCCTTTAACGTGTGAAACTCTATTCCAGTCTAGAGTCAGCACAAATTTAAATAAGCATCCTCAGGGCCCTGAGACAGCTTCTGTTGGTGTTTTATTTATAATTGCAAAGACTCATTGTAGTGCAATGGGAATTTATTTTTCAGGTACACCTTGAAAATTTCTCTGAAAAAAATCTTTACAGTTTCTGGTTTTTAGGGGGAAAAAAAAAGAGTCACAGTAGTAGCTAAACCAAATATTTCAATGTCCAAACATGCTAAAAGAGTCATTGTTTCCTTTCTTCGTAGCTGTGTCTTATTCAAGCTCCCTGTCCCATGAAAGTTTGGACTGGTTTAGAGGTCTCTGATACTGCAGGTTTCTGTTTGTTTCTCTTGACAGAGGTCAATGGCAAACAAACCAGTTTGTTCAACCTTTGGTCTCAACCAGTGGTGGACAGTTCTCTGAAATATTCACTCCCTGGGGCTCCTGCCAGCTGCTGGGCCAGGAGAATATGGAATTAGGGACCTTTTTCCTTCTCCGCAGCACCAACGCTCAGCCCTGCAGGAGGATTTGTGTGCAGTTTAGCACAGGGCACCAGCTTTGCTGCTCTGACAGATTCTCTGGGAGCCAACTGAGGCTTCCCAAGGCTGGGATGTGCATTTCCATGTGCTGGGCTTCCCTCTTCCCAGGGCTTCCCAAGAGCTTCCTCTGGTTCATTCCAACAAAGTGACTTAACATCTCCTCGTGGTGATCTCGCTCAGCTGCAGAGCTTGTGCATGTAGAGAGCTGCATGTCTAACCAGAAAATTAGTTTGTCTAACAGCAGTGCTTGGTAGAGGAACCCTTCTACTAATAGAATTATGTATTTTCTGTGAGATTCCCAAATAATTTGTGGTATTTCAAAGGGAAGATAGTGGTATGACAGTAAATCTAGAGCTCAGCAGCATTCAGCTTGTAGAAATATGGTGAAACTGTCCTTGATTCCAGTGGCAGAAGAATCAAACCCTCTACAAAATCCATCAAGGAAAGCACTTAGACTGTATTTCAACGGAAACAGTAACAATCCTCCTGAAAGCAAACCAAAAAAAAAATTATTGATTTACCAGAATTTTAGGTGGTCTTCTCAAATAAAGTTGAAAAATGATGTGAATGTATTTGTAGTCTGCTAGAATGCATATCCTAATTAAATTGCAAGATTGATCTAATATGTGCTTTTTCTGCATACTTTATTTGACTCTCACCACTTACCATCGTAGAGGAAGTTTATAGGAGAAGGCTAAAAGAAAAACGTAAGCCTGGCAATTCCCTTTTGGCTTTATCTCACTGCTCCTTTCAAACCAGTGTTAACTCAGATGCCTTCTGCAGCAATAATAATTCCATGTTTGTTTAGATTTGGCTGTCTAATTGTAACACACACGAGACACTGCTTTCACTGCTTGCAGCAAGCAGACAGCTCCTTTCCCTGCTCAGTGAGATTTTACTGCAGAAATAAAGGTCAGAGGTTCACAAATCAAATGTTGGACTTCAAAGGGACGTTTTCAAGGTTAACAGAGCCAAAATTGAACAATTACCCCCTTTCATTTGCACATATATAAACCCCATTTAATAATGAGAAAGACAGCTTTAATTGAAAGCCTTCCTTTTTGGAGGGGAGGATTTAGGCTTTTTTTTATTTTAAATCACTGCATTAAATAAAAAAAAAAATTGAATAAATGTCCCCATACTTGATGATGTTAATGAATATTGTAAGTAAAATTTGATTTAGTGTGCTTAAATCTACCTTGACACCAGTCCTTTTTGAAGTCTAATATTTATAAAAAGAAATTAGTAGTCCTGTGATTTTTTAAAAAAGTCTCCCAGTCGCTTGCCCACTGCCTGCTGGCTTTAGTTTTTGATTTGGCTGTGCCTGTGCATGTCCTGTGTCTCTTCTTTGAGAAAACACCTGAGGTTTACTTACATGTTTTAAACTTAATCATTGCAAGGTGTGCACTTTCCAAAATCCCTTCAATAAAAACTAATTACAGCTTTTTCAAATAGTTTAGCTATGACATTGTGTGTTCAAGACTCATTTGTAAAACCTTTTTTCACAGATGCTCTTTGGCAATGTTGATTTTCTTTCCCCTTTCTCCCTTCATGCCTGCTGCCATATCTGTTTTCATGGTTTTTTGGGGACAGTTGTCTCTGGTTTAATGTCAAAGCATGAACAGCTGAAGGTGGTAGTTACAAGAGAGGAATTATTTCAGGTTTTGTCTCCATCACACTTGGTTTCCTCAGGAAGACTTGCTGGGACTATTGTGTAGAGAAAAATGAGAGATTTGGTTCAGCAAAGTTAGGAGGTGATTAATAACCTCATAAATTTCAGAGAGGGTGTTTTAATTGGCTTGATTTAACATTACCTAACCCTAACCCTCTGTCACTAAATTTCGTGTGAGAAAATTCTCCGTTAACTTGTGACGTAGATTTAAACCAAGTTACCCATACTGAAACATTTAAGTAAATAACATTTACAGAATTTCCTTATATCAAACCAGTTTTTCATTATTTTTCATTCCCAAGTTCATGGATGTACTTTAACTACTTCTCAGATGGAATATATTTTCAATCCTACTTTAAATTATTTCCTTATATATAACAGCAAGCACGCTCTCATCTTTTGCAAAATGAGCTTCAGTGTTTCTTTTCCATTGCTTGACTCAGTTTAAAATAGTGTTACGTAGTCTTTTGTAAGAAAAACCAAAATGTTTGTATTGCGCAGTATTTTTAATAGTTCAGCTTCTGAAAAGAATCTACATTAAATGTAGTTTAGTAGTACACTAGCCACGCCACTGACATGGTTTTGGTTATTAGTAAGAGCATAGGAAAAGCACCACAAAGCATCTATTTGCAGTAAACATAGCAAGTCTTATTTCTCTTACAACATTTTAAAAAATTTTCAGACCAAGAAGTTCAGCGGTTGAAGATAGGAATGGAGACATTGTTGGCTGCAAATGAAGAAAAGGTGAGAAAATAATCCTTGTTCTGCGTGTTAAGAATGAAACTATGGTTTTGAATCTCTGAAATGTTACAAATAACATTGGTCCTTACACTTTCTAAAAGGACTAAATGAGAAAGGGGATTCATTCTTAGGAGACTGTCATTTTTGTGGAAATAAATCAATCTTTGTGGGATTTTCCTGCATGGTGGCACACCATATATGATCACATAAACAATAACATGCATCCTGAAAACTTTCTTTAACAACTGGGGAATCCTGACTGTGAAACATTAGTTCTGGAGAACATTAATGTGGCTCATAGCATTTATTTCTCAAAAACAAAGCTCTAATGTCAAACTCCTCTGGTTTCCTTACATCTATAATTTCACATTGTCCAGCAAATATTGTGTACAAAGGCAAATAACATTCTTTACAAATCATGTGAAAGACTGAGCCTGTTTTCATTAAAATCTACAGTGATGCAGTACAGTGTTTCTGCAGTCAAAAATGAAGGATTTAAAATATCATTTAATTTATTTCATGTTTTCCATAGGACCGTCGGATAGAGGAGCTGACACTGCTGCTGAGCCAGTACAGGAGGGTCAAGGACATAATGATTGCAGCTCATGGTAAAATGGCTTGTGAATAATTTCCTGATTTTATTTTTAGTTTATGTGGTGTTTCCTGTGACCATTATGACCTGTGACCATCAGCCATATTTCACAGCATAAAATGATCCATAAATGAGAGGGAGAACTCATTTCCCTTCCACTAAGGAAAACCCTGACAGCTGATGAGACAAATTTTGTTTGGAAAGGACAACTGAAAACCCACATTGCTTTGCTGCACACAATTCTGTGTATTTAACTTCGAAATCTGGGGTGGGGGGAAAAAATCTCTGTCCCATTTCTCATTGACACTGTAGGAAGTGGAGTGGGTTTTAGGACAATCTAATTTTAAGTTGCCACCATAATTTTCAGCACTGAATTGAATCTGGGAAACTTGACCTTCTGAAAGGACAGTTTTGTTCCATGCACACCATCACATTAACAAGCAATAACAATATTTTTAGGCCTTGCATGGCAGAATGGAAACATGTGTTTAACACACAAAAATAGGGAATGAGAGTAAATCTCTCTCTGAACGTTCATTAAGTAAATCAATAAAAAGAAGCAAGGAACAAGCCATGATGCTCTGGATTGTTGTGCTGGTACTGCAGAAAGCAAACTTGGCCTGTTTCTCTCCCTGTCTACTTTTATTTTCTAATGTTTCAGGCTCTCCTGTCTCTGGTGGCAGCGAAGAGGAACTTGAGGCAACTATAAGGAAGTGGAATCTTCTGAATAACTCACAAGGAGAATTACTGAAAACAGAGGTACAGATGTTCTAGAAGCAGGTTCTGCCATACAGATTATTTTTTTCTGTTGGTTTCTCTGTAGTAATGTGGGTGAGGGCTCAGCCCTGGTCGAATTTTTGTATTTCTTGGTATGGGCACAGTAGATTCAGCAGAAGACACCAGAGCTACAAGCTTGAAATTCTTGTATCTTACCCAGGCCTCTGAAGGAGAATTGTCACCAGTTGTGCTCCCTCCAGTGCCACACAAAGCCGTGGAAATCAGGCAAGACCTTTCTTTCTCCCATGGTGCTAAAAATTGTACTATTTGGATAATTAATTTTATTATGAATTATTTACCTGCTGGCATCTTCTCTTGACTGTTCTTGGCTTTGCTGCAGTTTTGGGCATTGTGAAAGCTGTGCTTGTTGTGGAGGTTTGCAATGCTTAGATGTTTAAGGTTTAAATTATAGGAATAAATCAGCATTTTTATATATAATAGATTATATATTTATTTATTTATATATTATAAACATATTTATATTATAAATATGTTATATATAAGAATTTATACTATATTATACTATATTATACTATATTATACATAAAAATATAAATGCATTATATAGATTTATATTTTATTTATTGATATAAACTATATTTATGTATTTAGGTTATATATCGTATTTTATATTTTTTTATATAAGTTTATTTCTATTTAAAGTGGAAGCATTCCAGTACCTCCAAGCAATTTAAACTCTCAGCAGGAAGAATCGTTGGAAGTCACAAATAGGTAAGAATGAGTAACTGTCATTGAAATGTAAAATAATTTTCCTTTTTAAAATCCCTAAACGTTGCACACTCACTGCTCACAGAGAGTTTTTACTGTGCTTGTTAAGAGTTTCTGAAACCACCTAGAGATACAAGGGTACAGCTGCCCACTGGGCCTGGCTGCCTTTCACTGCACTAAAACCACAATAAAATAAGTTAATCTTTTAATTCTGAGCTAGGTTTGATGCGGACATTATGTGGCTTATGCAGCTGCTGTGCAAACAAACCGTGTTTTATTAACTGCTGCTCTTCTGCCTGTCCCTTTTTTAAGGCTTCCACAGAAAAAAAAGTCAAGTAGTTTAGAAGACTTGCAGAGCGAATCCTTGGAAAAGGTTGGTTTATCTGTAATCACAGCTTCTGGTGTCTAATGTCACAACTAAAAGACAAAGATCAAGTCTAAATATTCTTTTTGTTACACTTATAGTAACTTTAACCACCACTAACTCTGTATGTGGGGAAAGAGCCCTAAAACAGCTCAGGTTCTTTTTCACCCCTGCTTCCAAACTGGTTGACACACACATGTGGACACCTTCAAATTCAGTTTTTGCCCTTAAAGAAACAAAAATATTTAAGTGAAATACAAGAAATAACGAGGAATCATTTTGTTAAACTGCTGTATTATTTTGTTTATAGGGGGTTTTTTTTGAAGTATTTTTTTTACTTCCAAATCATCAAAAATATTAAGGCAGCTAATCCTGAAAGTAGCTAAATGTTGGGATTGGGTATTCCTTTTTGGGTGTGTGCATGTAACAGTGTTTTCCCTGATCCAAATGGCATTCCTGAAGATGGCAGCGATGCTGCCTTAGTTACAGCATCAGGAGCACTCTAAGGCTTTCATTCCACCCCAGAATAAAACTTCCCAATTTGCAGAGTCTGGTTACATTGTGGTCCACAGTCCTGTTTTGTCATTATGTGCACTGACATTTTTCTGCACTTTTTAAATTCTGCTTTGTGAGACTGTTGTTGTTTTCTGCACTCAAATTAGGCTTAATACCAGGTGATCTAGACCCAGTAATGCCATTGAAATCAGATACCAGTCATATGATTGCTCCAGTTCTTGAATTTTAAAAAAAAATTTCTTAAATATTTTAATATTTTTCTTGAATTTCTGGAGATGATAGTGACCAAGTAAAATGAAATTTGTGCTGCATTCATTTGATTGTAGTCACACACGTGACAAATCAGAACTAACATTTCATTCCATGAAGAATTGATAAAGGTTTTCTTGTCATAACTTTCAGTTATTTTCTTGTCTTAAACCAAAAATCTGAATTTGTCTCTGTGATATGCTGTGATAAGGCTGGACCTACACATTTATGCTGGTGTTATTCTGCCTTGCTCAAAGCTTAAATTCCCACTGCTTCTAGCAGTAATAATAATAAAATAATAAACCACATCGGTGTCCCTGACCTCTAACTGTGGTGGAATTTTTATCATTTGCTTTCTGTTGGAACTCTTTATGGTTTCAGCTGGATCCATACAGGAGTGTGTATTATTTTATGTCAGCTGTTTTCATATTGGTCTGTTAAACAGCTGTTGTGTTCCCAGCTCAAAAGACCACCCAGAAACCTGAAAATAGCAAAATTCCTTTGATCACAACAGAACTTAAACAGGAACTTTGTAGAGTGGGGAATGAACAAACACAGTTAGTATTAAATACTGGATTGAGATGAAATTAAGAGGTAACAGTCCTTGTAATATATTGTCCATATGTTAAGCACCATCTCTATAGCAATAAGACTACATTTGATGTTCCATGTATGTATGTTAATACTAACATTTGTCTGTTGCTTTTTTCCACAAAACTTTGAAATTGCCCTCCCTGAAACTCCATAGTATGTAGATGGAAAACCAGCACAGCCTGTTGTAGAACAAGAGGTATATTAACTGCAACCTTCCCTAACAATTCTCTGGTGTGGTGTGCTGTGATGTGCTGTGATGGTATGCCTGGTTTGCATTTTATATTCATTTCCTCTTCAAAATGTTTGCATAGTTCCAGTGTTGTTTGACAAACAACACAGGGGGTAAAGATTTGAGAGGGAAATCTTTTTGGTTTTTTACTTTTTATCGAAGTTTGTTGCATGAAGCTGAGGTCAGTCAGTCTCACTGCTGATGTGAGACACAATTTCTCTACTCTTACAATAGTTTTGGGACAAGTCAGGATGTACTCCTGCAGTTGCCAAAAAAGAGTAGGAGAGTTGAGGAACTGAGCAATCTGGCCTGCAGTTGTAGTATCCAAAGAATCCTCTAGGCCTTGGAATAAGAACAGATAAAGCAGTGGTTATCTCATAGAATTTTTAATGTGTCATCCTGTCACAATGTTTTTAAAAAATGTTGTTGGGATGGGATTTACTGAATAAGCACACTGTATGTTCCTCTGTACTAAATATAGTTTGCATATTTTCAGTGCAAAGATTTCCTATGAAACCTCCATTCTGATACCGAAACATTTTACCAGAGGGAATTTATTCCAAAACACATACTGGGTGTACACCATTCCCCCTAATAATGTCAGCTGGAGGTTCACTGCTTATCTCAAAAAGCATCCCTGTCCTACAGCTTTCACCCAGAGTGTTTGGCTTGTCCATCTCTTCATCTGGATTTAGCGTTGAAGAAATCCCAACAAGCCATTTCCAACGCTGTAGGCAAAAGTACTTCTGTGAAACACATGCTTTGCCTGGAAAAGTAACTTACTAGGCTCAAATCCATCAGGTTTATAGGAACATTTCATCTGCCCTTGTGAAAGGAGCAAGGTGCCCAAGTAGATATCACCTGAATGCAAGGAAAATTAGGTTCTGTAACAGTACTGGCAATTATATTTAGCTGTGATTATTTAAAAAAGAAAAAAAAAACTTCACATTTAAAATTCTGACTATGCAAAGAAATTTTTGTCCTTACAAAAGCTAAATTTCTGTATCTTAACTTTGATTTTGATTCTTTTACTCTTATTAAGGGTGGTAGGAGATACTCTTGTGGAAATTTGAGGTGTACCAATACTTTTGGGTTGAATTCCTGAGATACAGTTGTGAGGCAGAAACACACAAAGTCTGGTTGAGAAAAAATTATCTGAGAAGTAACTAAACACATATTTGGTGCTATCAAAGCTTGAAAGATTAAACAATTAAATAGTGGCAGGGTCCTGGAGGAAAGGGAGACAGCTAGAAAAATTCTTATGGCAAAACCAGGTAATATTTAACATATATTTTAAAGTAATGCAGAGTGGATGAAGTGGGAAGAGCAGATGAGGGAAGGCAAGGCTGTGTCTGAGCTGATGGATGGGTTTAAACTGAGTTATCTGTAAGCAGGAACTTGCAGGGAGTGGAGTCATTTTGAACCGTACGTTTTTCTCAGCTTTAAGAACATTGTGTACCAGATTGCAGATGCTGGGAGCAAATTTGTATTTATTTTATCTTTCCCTCTTTTAAAAACAGCAGAGTAAGCCAGTGGGGAAAGGCAGCAAGTACCAAACGCTGCCAGGAAAGCTGCCCCGAGCCCTGCAGAACGGAGAGCAGGGAATGTACAGCTCCCCAGAGGGATGTGGCACGAGTGACAACGATGACAACAGCATCCCTAGCCTGAGTATGTACCCGTGCCTCTCTCCCCAAAACTCTCAGAGGGGTTGGGACACAGAGTGGGATAGAATCTGCTGTGCCAGAACAATGCACTGTGATGCTCACATGCTTCACTCAAGGACTGTCCTACTAACACTTTTTTCTTTTTTTCTTTTTTTAACAAATACCAGAAATATTCCCATAGTTCATGGAAGGATGGGTTTGATTCTGTGGGGTTTTTTTCTCTGTTTCACCTGACAATGCCATTTGAAACTTCACCGTACAACCATCAAAAGCATGAACGTTTTGGGTGAAAATCCCTCTATCAGCTCTGTTGGTTGCTTAGCTGTGGGGGACCCACTAGTGAAAATTTAATATCCTGCGTGTAGAAAAACATCCGTGGACTTTGGAACTACAAATACATTTCCATTCCACAACCACAGCTCTGTGGAATCCTGTATTAATTTCTTTTCAGTGGCACCTTAAGCACAGATTTGTTGACAAAAAGGTGTTAAGAGCGAGGCACAGGACCAGGTATTTGTTTAGGACTGAAGGACTTGGGAGCTCAGGCACAAGAGTAACCCTTGTGATTCTGAAGTCTTCCTGCACTTTAAAAGTTACAGTGATGATTTTTCTATTTGGCATTTTTTCTTTGGTGGGGGTTGGTTAATTTTAGGGCCTTGTGGTCCCTAAAGCTGCTAGCACACTGCAACTTCAAGGTTGCAATAGGCTGTGGCTGTTTAGGGATTTTCAAAGGGCTTTCTGTGATGGCAACTTTGTAGGCAATGCATGAGCCATGCTGCAGTGTCTTTAACTGCAGGATTATCCAAGGGTGGGTGAGCTTGTGAAGAAAATGTTCCTTTTTCTCAAAACAAGCAATGGCTTCTAAAATACACTGATTTAAGAGAATTTTTTTTTTTTTCTGTAGGTTGGTTTGTTTCTTGCACATGCAGTGAATTAATTCCACACTGATTTAAGAGAATTTTTTTCTGTAGGCTGGTTTGTTTCTTGCACATGCAGTGAATTCATTCCACCTCCAATTCTGTTCTTCAGAGCAATTGGATGTAATCTTAGCCACTGCTTCATTTCAGATACTCTTCAGGCTTCATAGAGCTCTGTAGTCTTTGCTTAAAGAGCTGAAACTTTGCAAGAATACTTAGGAAAGCCCAAACAGATCCATTGGCATCCCCACCTGTTTAAGATGGTCTGTACAGAGTTTCTGGGGCTTGTGCACACCAATGCACATTCACTTCCACGTCAAGCACAGCTGCTTCTTTTTCTTTTTGTTTCTGCTTTTAATGCTTAGCTTAACCACTTTGCCCTTCTGTAACTTTATTTTGCTGGTGTTTTGTATCTTCTTTGCTTCTCCATCTGGCTTTCTGCCTCTTGGGATGACTGAAGATCGCGGCAGGAGTGTCAGTGCGCCTGTGCTAGGTACTGTATCCAAACAAGATGCAACTTTAACCCTCCCCTTGCTGCTTACGTTGTTTCCTTCCTTTCTCCCTCCCTTTCCCTACAAAATAATAATCCCAGCTGGGCCCTCTAGACCGAACTCCTTTACATGCAGTACTGAAATGAAGTAATAGCTCCTGCTGTGTGGCATTCACATGGGGTTTCTTTTTATGACACTTATTCCCGATTCGTTCTGTTTCCACGGAATTTAGAAAAATTCCCACTGTTTTTGATGGAGGAGTTGAGGTATTAAGAGCAGGCAAGAAGACCTTAAACTAATATTCTAACTAAAACTAATTCAAATAACATAGTTAAATAGAAAAGACTGAAATAACAGAATTGTTTTCCCAATGTTTTATTTTTGTTTTTTTTTAAATCAAGTGTCCAGCTATTTTTTCACCTTCTGAGCATTTTTGGTTTTTTTAAATAAAATAATGATTTTATAGGTATCTCTACTTTCATATCATGTTCTGCATTTAAACATCAGCCTCCCAGACAACAACTTTATCAACAATGAGTATAAAATGTGACTGTAATACTGTTCTTAACCCAGGAGAAACAGAGAACATGGATGGCACAGTGGTCTCAGACGACCTTTCACCTCTCTCTTCGGGAACGGATTCGAGTCCACAGTCTCCGTGGTCTCCAGAAAACAGAAAGAGTCCAAAAGGGATCAAGAAAATCTGGGGAAAGTAAGGTCTTTTTATTATTATTATTATTCATTGACAAAGCATTTCAGCTGAGAATTAATTCCCAGCAAAATCTACAATTATCTGTAGCAAGAATAACTTAAAATTTGGGGAGCAAAAGCAGCCTTGGGATGACACAGGTGTGTTCTTATGTACACTTTGGGGTGGAAAAATAGTGGGAGTGTTCACAGCATCATGCTGATGAAAGAACTAAGACACTGCTCTCATCTTAATCCTATTAATTTAGCATGCCAACAGTTTTATTAGCCATGAAAAACTAAATTGTAGCAATTTGCTCATTATAAAAGACACCAGGTAAAAAAATAAGGGAAAACAGAAGGAACAGAAAGCAGGGCACAGTTGCACTGTGTCCACTCCATCTGCTTCAGCAATCCATTTCCAAGTTTGAATTACTAATTGGCTCAAAGTGTTACAGCTGCTCTGTGGAGCTCCTTTATTTTCCATCAGAGTCAGGTCCGGGCTGAATTTCCTAGAACTCCTTCAGCTGCCTGTGGAATTTGGCATTTGCAGTTTCCAGGGAGATGCACGGAGCTGTTAGTTGTCACTGTAGTTTCCATGCAGAGCAAACATCCTCTGGCAGCAGCTAACAGTCCTGTCGTGGCACTCTTGTCTTGCAAGAATCCGAAGAACTCAGTCAGGTAACTTCCCTGCAGACGACCTGGGGCTGGCAGAGTTTCGCAGGGGAGGGCTCCGGGCTACGGCTGGACCTCGCTTATCCCGCTCCAAGGACACCAAAGGCCAGAAGAGGTAAAGGTTCCTCCTCCCCCTGGCACACCCTGCTGCTGTTAAATGTGCCCAACGCAGCCAAACCCTCCTCTCGGGGAGTTTTTTCCACAATAGCTGGAAAGAATTTCTCTGGTAGCAAAATTGTCCTTGAGAACCTCCCCTGCCTGCGAGTTGCAGCGCCCGCTGCTTGGTAGACTGTCAAAAGTTTCAAAATTTATCTCCTCATCTGCATAATGGTGAGGATTCAGCAATTCCCTTTTCCCTCATTTCAAACAGAAGATGGGAAATTCTTATCTGCCCTGCAACTGCTCACAGGTTGTGGCTGGGCTGCCAAATTCCCAGGACACCCCAGAACACAACAGCCCAACAGATCTGCTGTGGTGCTGCCTCTGGCACACCATGGGCTTTCCAATGTGGACATTCCTTCTTTCCTTGGAGATTTTCCCAATCTTTCTTGTGCTTTTCAGCGACCACAATGCCCCGTTTGCTCAGTGGAGCACTGAGAGGGTTTGTAACTGGCTCGAGGACTTTGGCCTGGGCCAGTACGTGATTTTTGCCCGGCAGTGGGTGACGTCAGGCCACACGCTGTTAACTGCCACACCTCAGGACATGGAAAAGGTAATCACTGCTTCTCTCTACCTCCTGGTCCTGTCCCACCAAGCCCCTCCAAACCATTGGCTCTACCTTTCTGAAATCCACGGTATCAATTTTCATAGTTACCTCACGTGAGGAAAGGAACCAGAGGCAGGGCAAAGTCTTTGTTAATGTTTTCTTTTCTTTTTTCTTTTTTTTTTTTTTTTTTGTTGCAGGAAATGGGAATAAAGCATCCACTTCACAGGAAGAAATTGGTTTTGGCCATTAAAGCTATAAATGCAAAACAAGATGAGAAGTCTGCACAACTTGATCATATCTGGGTGACGCGTAAGTGTTTGGACTTGTTTGGGAGGGAATTTCTCCCACCTCTGTGAAAGGGCAGCCTGACTCATGTTGAAGCAGTTACCAAACATCTTTTAAAAAGCACCAAGTTTCCCCATAAAAGAATTGAGGATTTTTGTGTTGTTCTTGACACACAGACCTAAAGCTTGTGGTATGCTACGGAGAACTCTGTCAGACAGCAGGGAATCAGATGGGTGGGCTCAGTCTAGGAAGAGCTGTGCTGCAGAAGATGCGCTCCATCACCTGCTGCGTGTCAAATATCACAGGGATGGTGTGGGCAAAGCTGCTCGGTGGGAATTGCTTTCAGGCTGCTGGCAAAAGGCTGCCCTCAGGAAAGGGGAACAGGCAGAATGAGCTGCCTGAATGCCCCAAAAGAAGCCAGGCAAGAGGGGAGAAGGGCTTCATTCTCACCAATCTGGATTTGGTTGCCCATTGCTCTCATATCTGCAGGGTGGCTTGATGACATTGGCTTACCCCAGTATAAAGACCAGTTTCATGAATCCAGAGTAGATGGGAGGATGTTGCAGTACTTAACTGTGGTAAGTACAGTCCTTTCTCCTCAGTTTTACCAATTTTAACTTCCGAATAAGCAAAAACTTTTAAGATTGTCCTTTGAATGTGAGCAGTTAAAGAATTTTTGCAAGATGGAAATAGTGCCAGTAGTAACTCCTTTGTGCTGCCTAGTGCATGGAATTTGTTCCTAAGGTCCATAAAATAAGTCATATGTTAGGGCTAATTTCTACAAAGCCCTTCTTTCAGTATGATGCACACCACAATTAAAAGTAAAATGACCTGCTTCTGTGTAACCTCTGGAGCTCGTTGCTCTCCACATTAAGTTAGCAACAATATTCAGCAAAGTAACAGCAGAAAATCCAGTGATTTGTACAGCTCTGACTACATCCACAGCACACCATGAACCACACACAGCCACTGTGTTTTCTTCCCATTCTCATGCCCAAGTCTGGATAATTAAGTCCTGGATTTTCCTTAAAAGGCTACACTCCTGCCCTCATTTTTTTAGCCAGGTGTTGCTCTGGTGCAATGGAAAAAAAAACCCAACAAACCAACACCAGAACCCCCTTCAAACTTCCACCCTAACAAAACCCAAACCCTCTTTTAAATATAAACTTTCATCTTTCCTAAATCACAGTTAGTGTAGCGTTATATAAAACTACACAGTAAACTTAAACTCTTTCTTCTTGGGGAGAATATCTTTTTTAGTGTGTGTTCTAAAAGTCTCTCTTCTTCACAGAATGATCTTCTCTTCCTGAAAGTCACCAGTCAGCTGCATCACCTGAGTATTAAATGTGCCATTCATGTGCTGCATGTCAATGGCTTCAATCCCCACTGTCTGCGCAGGAGGCCAGTTGAGGAGGTAAAAGAATGTTGAAATAAATTACTTTAGGCAAGCACGAATTACTTGGTCCCAGCCAAAGGGGATAGAAAGTCAGCAGTGTACAGTGGTAGAACTTCAAGGGGCTTGCACCTAAAGCAGCAGCTATGTGATTTATTAGGTGAATCTCATGCATTTCTCTTCATAAGTTATTTGCATAGTGGAAAAAAAAGCTAATTCATCTTCCAAGAGAATTATTTGGACTGACTTGCCTTTGCCTCACCTAATTTTTAAAATCTGTAAGGTTTTTGCCTTACCTGATCAACACAGTTTTTTCTTAGCATTAAACACTGTCAATAACCCTGTTGTCAAACATTCCCTTTTTATCCCTGTAATCTGTAATCTCTGCTGTTGTACTTCTTGATGCAACACATGGGGTTTCATCAGTAGTAGACCAGGTCTGCCATCTCATCAGAGACTGCTTGAAAGGGGCTTGAAGAGAAACAGTCCCTCAGCCAGGGAAGAACAAGTGGAGGAAGAGGAGGGAGGCTGTTTTTGTCTGAACTGAGATACGAGCTGTGCACACTCAGTGCAGGCTGTGGTGTCATCACCTTTTGTGGTCCCTCCAACAGAACAGCGTCTCTCCTTCCGACGTGGTGCAGTGGTCCAACCACAGGGTGATGGAATGGCTCAGATCAGTGGATCTGGCAGAATATGCACCCAACCTTCGAGGCAGCGGAGTTCATGGGGGCCTGATTGTAAGAATTTACCATTTCACTATTAATAAATGACAGGCTGTAATATAAACCATCTTTTATCTGATGTTCATCAAGCAGAAAGAAAGAAACACATCTGTAATGTGACAGCGTGATCAGGCCTTCCAAGGAGCCTCTTTGATCCATGCGTCTTCATTTTACAAAGGAAAACTAAAATAAAAAAGGAACAGCTAAAGCACTTTCTATAATCACTTTCTATAAAACACTTTCTATAAAACACTTTCTATAAGCTGAGCTGTGCACAAGTGTATGACAGCAAACCTGAACTGTGCTGTGTAAAAGTTGCTTTTTGATAAGGCATCACTGAGTGTTTCTTTGAGTGATTTACCAGAGCTCTGAGCCACCCTGAAGTCACAGAAGTCAGGAATGACCTTTTTTGTCATTTAAAACATACAGAACTATTTGCAGCTCCGTGATCTCAGGGTTCTGAAATACCATGATTCTAGTGCTGTAGAATTTTTGCAAAAATGCAGCAGTAGAAATCATACTAAGATTAAGTTTTCACTCTGAGTAGAGCAGAAAATTCTGAAAGGAAACTTGTTCAACCCAAACAAATGTATATGGTTTGATGATAAATATATATTATATTATTATAATATATATCATATATATAACATATTGATGGATTTGATGATAAATATAAACACATATTTGCCTGATCACATTCAGCATTATTTCTTGGCTCCTTTCAGGTATTTCCCATTCAAACCCCAGCATTATGAGCCATAAAAGATCTAATGTAAACAGGTACTTCGTGAGAAATCCTCTGCTGAGCACTGTAGTAGTTTACTATTGCAAATATTTATATAAAAAATAAACATCCTGCCCTTTTCCCAGATTCTGGAACCCCGCTTCAACGGCGACACGCTGGCCATGCTCCTGAATATCCCACCCCAAAAGACCCTCCTGCGCCGCCACCTCACCACCAATTTTAACGTGTTAATTGGGCCAGAGGCACAACAAGAAAAAAGAGAAACCATGGAGTCAGCAGCATACACACCTCTGACCACCACTGCCAAAGTTCGGGTAGGTACCACTGTCAAAAATGAGATGTCAGTGTCAGACTTCTCGACTCTGAATTATGAAGAAAACAACAAGCATAGGCAGGGAGAGGTGAATTCTAGGAGTGCTACATTCCCCTTAATTCTGGATACAAGGCCTTTTAGTATGTATCTGTTTAATCAGGTCCTGAAAACAAGCAAACAATCTATTCTGTCTTTTCTTAGAAGGAACATCATGTAAATGCATTTAACATCCACTGTAACTCCAATCTGAGAACAAATATAGTTAATTCAGAAACTACATACTTGAACGACCAGGGTATAGCAGTAATTGAAAAAGGGGAGGATTTTGAATGTTTACAGAATAACTTTACTTGTTTTACTCAAGCTACTTGTGTTGACTCCTTATTTTAGCCAAAGAAACTTGGATTTTCGCACTTTGGAAACTTAAGGAAAAAGAAGTTTGACGAATCAACAGACTACATTTGTCCTATGGATACAAGCCCAGCTGCTACGAATGGTACTTCAAAAAACCACGGTGGCTACAAAGGACTAGGTCCTTTCACTGACAGGGAACTGGATCAGGTGGGACAGACAGACTGATGCCATGCTCATCTCATCCTCTCCATGCATTCCAAAGCTTGCAAATAACCAAATGTTCCCCTATAACAAACTCTTTGCTACATCCGCATGAACTCACAGAGAAAAGTATTGGCTGTGGACACTGGAAAGAGTTCCAGACTAAGAATGTTGGGGTTTTTTTAATCAACATCATAATAAACTCATCCATCCTCAAGCCCTTTTTCAGGACTATGACACCTTTACACTCTGAAGATCGAGGTATTTTGTCAGTCAAGGGTATGGTTGCAGGAAACATAAGACTTTTGTACTTCTAGCTTTCATAATTTTAGTATGGCACACTATTTTTTTTTCATTATCTTTATGGGTGGTTTTTAATGTAATAAATTCATTTGGATAAACTTGTACAAAACTATCAAGTTATATTAAAGTACGACTGGATTGTATTTTTTAACAGACAGTAATCAGAGAATCCAACTGAATTTTTCTTTCATGGTGTACAGTGGGGAGTAGTTCTGCTTATGAAGACAATGCATCAGCAATGAACAAATTATTAATAAACCAATAGTTAATTCACTTTTGTAATGTAGTAGTGAACTTGTGAATGAAACTGTCTAGACAGCATACAGAGAAATTATGATGACTCAAAACCATCAAATTTTATTTCAACTTTGCTGTTGTGTAAAGGGATGTAAACCCTGAAAAACGGAGCGCTCCTGGAGCCTTGTGTGAACTTCCGCAGCACACAAGAGCCACACAGAGGCAACTGGAGTAAACTGGTCTTTCTCCAGTGACTTAAAAACAGTTTAAACCTGATAAAAGAATGGTCACAACATTGAAAAGACTAACTGTGAAGGTAATTTTTTTCATTTGCATGGTTTAGTGCATCTAACATCTCATTTGTGTTCACTGGCTAACTGTGGTCTTTTTCAATGTATTGCTCCTCAACAGGGAGAATGCCAAACCCTGGCTGTGGATGTCCACTTGCTCAGCTCAGAGTTGTGAGGGAATGCATTAACTTTGAGCCAAGAACTTGCACTGTGCAGTTGTTCAAGCATGACAGAAAGACTGGATTTTTCTCTAGGAGCATGGTCTGTCTATTAAGCATGACTTCTGAGCATGTGGCCCACACAGGAAATCACAATGCCCTAGAACTGGTGACATTTCTATGAAGGAAGAGGTAGGACTGTATCAAGGACTTCTTGCCTGTGAAAGCCTGCCAGAAATAAGCTGTGTCAGAATATTTAGAAAATTTTACTTTTCATTGATGGTATCAATTAAGCTTTGTCCTTTTTTTCTGTGAATTATAGGCCAAGTTTCATGGAATCAATCTCTCTTAATCCACTCTTCCTGTCATTAAATTCATTTCCACGTACCTTGTAGCACAGAGGCATTTTTGTTAAGGAGTTTTTCAGCTTGCCCCAACTTCATTTGTCCAGGCACAGATCCCTCCCAAAGCTGCATGTAGAGTGAATAAAATTGCACATGCTGTCTGATTTGAACTAGTTGCTGACTGCTTTTACAGATGGAGCACTCAGAAGGCACAGTAATGCAAATAGGGGCTCTTTCCCAAGGCATAACCCACCTCACGGTATGTACTTGTTCCTCTCTTGTTGCAAAGTCACCCATGTGCTCTGCTAAATCTCACTGAAAGTTGGTCATTGCTAGTGGTAATGAAGAGTAAATGGGTCTCTGCTCTTAAATTCTCTTTACAGCCTGGTGGGACATTCAGTCAAAAAAAAACCCCTGTTTTTAAATTGCTCTAGAAATTAAGCTTCAATTAGGCCTTTTTAAGTGGCCTAAATGATAGATATTCATCCCCTTAAATGAAAACAATTCTTCAAAGATTTTGCAGGCAACCATCACAGCAGCTAGGAATGAGGTACAGACTTTTGCAAATTTACATGAGCTAAAACTGTGCAGAAGAAAACACCTCACTTTTGCTTCTTCATTCCACAGAAGCCAATATATTAAAAAATAAAATAAGTGACTGGAAGACATAAAAAAGAATTATGAAATAGAGTTGAGTTGCATGCCAGGCACAAAATCTCTCTAAGTTTCCCCAAGCAAAAAACTTTATTTAAAGCTGTATTGAAGAAATTCCCTTTGTGTGTGGCTCTCACCCCATGTTGTGAGCCTGATCTCACTGTAGCTGGGTCTCTGGGAGATCTGTCACCAAACACCCTCAGTCCTTCCCATCTTGTTCTTTCAGACGCTGCTGAGCCAAGATGAAATGCTGAATGACAGCAGGTTTTTAACACCGACCTTTGAGGACTGGAGATGATGCTTCAGCCATGACCAAGATCACTACTCGGTACCTCAGGCCTGCAGGAGTGGCCAGGAGCAGCTGGATGCTGCAGAGCAGGAAAGCTTTTACCTCTTTTCTGCCACCTCCCATGTAGCTTTTCCTACTGTCAGTGTATTCACATCTTACAGGTAAATCTCCTCTGTGCTGTTTTCCCACATCATGTCATAGGAAACAGGTGTTGGGAGAGGAGTGGGACTCATCCAGAGTCTGGAAAGCAAAGACTGGCAATGCTTTGTCTTTTTATTCAGTTGACTTTTACATGCTGTGTTGATGTACTGTTACGTGAAAGACCTTTTGTAATTTTTTATTTTTATAATTAACTCGTAGTGCAGGAATCATCAATACATAATTGTTCCATAGGGGCTAATCAGAGCTCCCTGGAATTCAGCTGGAGGCTGGTGAGAGCAGCAGTAATGGCTCACTCAGCACTCCTGTGCTCTTGCCAGACCGGTCCCCAGAAAGGATTTCAATCTCTCCTCCCTTTCACTGGCACCTGTCCTGCCCTCTTTTTATCCAAGTCAGTGTGCTGTAGGATGGGAAGAATGGAACCATAGGACTGTCCATCAAGCCCTTGCTTTTATTAGGATGACAAGCTGCCATGTTCACAAATCTTTACCTAAGGCAAAAACAACTGCAGCAGGAAATTGGAACTCTGAGACTACCAGGAAAGTACCAGAAAAAAACCACAGATTTATTTCTTTAAAACACCTGACAAAATAAATCTGTTGCTGCTGTACTGGGCTAAACAGAACTCCATCAGAGGGAAATACAGCCTCTCACTTTTTGAGGGGCTGAGGGTGAAGTTGTCACCTTTACAGCACTTGTGGCATTTGTTTACATGTACATCTCCTGTATTAATGAGCTGTTAAAAAGCTCTCTTAGTAAACAGATACATGCCAGGAAAAAAAAAAATCTCCTTAATTGTAAGGAAAAGTACCTTGTACAGGGCTGGTGTGCATTACTCTATCCTTGCTGGCTGCAGGTGTTGCTTTAGATTCCAATATAGCCTGAGGGCAGGTCAGTGCCAGCCACAACCCTCCCAAAGAAGCTGGGGGGGAGCTCCAGAGCTGGCCACAGGATGCAGCAAGGGCTCTTTGAGAACTACCTGGGGTTCTTTTTACAGATAATCCACCCTGGTCCTCGCTTCACCAATCTGTCATGACAGACCTTGCACTGTATGGTCAGGTGGAAGAAGATAAACACATTATTTGACTGTGGTAAAATTAAGGCAAATTATTTTAAATCCCTGCAAACTGGGAAAAAAAAAAAAAAAAAAGGCAAATTCAGAAGAATGAGAAATAAGTCTACACATCAGCAAAGTACTAATGTTTAATGTTTAATAAAAGGTATTAAATGTACCAAGTCTGGCAATGCAGTCAGTGCCAGTGACCAGCTCAGGTACCATGGGCATTTGAAATACTTTGTCAGGTCAATTAGCCAACAGACTTATTACAGCACTGCAAATGGGATTGGCTGCTCCAGCTGCCCTGGGATATTCCAAACACAATATTTCCTGTTTTCTTTCAATGCTGTATTTACAACTCAGTGTGTTGCTTTGCTGACTTGACTGTGAATAGTCAATCCACAAAACAATTGATTCTTCTTTTAAATATACGTAGTAAGAAATCCTAGTTAGCATAACACTGGTATAAATGCTTATTTCCTGACTGTTATGAATAAATTCTGAATGTTCCGCTCTCTTTTGCTGACTGTGGAATGATTTAACACAAATCCATGTGGATGACCTCTCATATTTTTTTTTCCCTCAGAATTAATATTTTATTCTAATTCCAGAGGTAAGACTAACTCCCACACAACTCAAGATGATTTCTCAACTTCTTAGTATTGAAAAACACAAGGTAATTATGAAGTTATAAACCACAGAAATTACATTAAGGTGTCAAAAAACACACACACACAATCGCTGCACAGTTGCACATCAATTGTTCCTGTAGAAAAATATGCAGCATTTCCAAAAAAAGGTATCAGGTGCCAGCAATGTTAGTAAGCAAATGTACTGCTCTTGGGGTAGCCAAGCTTGTCCAGGTTGGGCTGACAAGCAAACTGAATCATTGGTGGTGGCCCACACATGAGAATGAGGGTCTCACTGCCCGGGGGAGGCAGGTGGGCTTTCAGCATCTCTGCAGTGACAAAGCCAGAGCTGTACTTCCAGTCTGCAACAAAGAAATTAATTCCATTACTGTGAATCTCTGTACAGGCTGAAGCCCTTTTAAACCTCATTAAGTAGCTGAGAAATCAAGTCATGGCACCATCACTGCAAGCCAGGAAAGGGTTACATTTCTCACTCAGCTCAAACCTAGTGATCTCCTTCCACAGGGACAACAAGCATGTAGGTAACAAGGATTTGGTTAAAAAGACATGGAGGTCTTAAAACAATAAATTGTAAAATTGGAAAGAAATGAGCCGGTAGGAATAAAAAGGAAGAGTGAAGCACCTTTTCCAGTGAAGAGGGGTCACCCAGTGGCAGGGAGAGGTATTGAGACCTGTACTTTTTTGGGTTTTTTGAGCTGGAGTGGTGAGCTGACAAAGTTTGGTGATAACAAAAGCTCTGCCATGTAGTTTAGTGATAAGAGAAAAAAAATTAAAAGAGGAAAGAAATGCTAAGTTACTTCAAGCAGTAGTATTATTGAATGCATCTGCCATTTGAAGTGAGACAAGAAGGAAAATTATGCTTAATCCATACACATGGCAACTCTGTTACACCAGAATCTAATCTGGAGCTGCTGCACATAATATTTACAGGCATTAAACAATTTAGTGCCAACAACATGCTAACATAACCTGATTCAGGAGATAGCCCAAAACAGAGCTGAACTTTTGATGAAAATTTCCAAAACCTGGAATACATGAAAAGATGCACTGGGTAAAAAATCCAACCCAAATGAGGTTAATTATGAGCTCCCACTTTTTAAGGCCCACCTGGCTTAGATCCCTTTTTAAAACAGGGTGTGGGGGTAAGGTTTGTTTCTGAGGAGTTTCAAAGTGTAAGACAAGAACCTTTGACTCTGATGTCCTCTTGAGCAAGAATGAAGCTCTGGCTGTTGTACAGGGATCAGCAAAGGCATTTCCATGTGTCCCTACCTTTTGGAGGTCTGTCCAGGGTGTACCACAGCACAAACTGCTCAGGATGCCTCTTGGCAAGGTCTTCTAGCTCAGCTCTCAGCAATATATCATTTTCTGTCTGCAAAATGAGTGCTGGTTAGCTCCAAACCATCCCAGGAGCCCTCTGATGGGAGCTCATCTGCCATTCACAACACATGCAATGATAAAAATTATGCAAATCAGGAAAGTAATTGGTATTTTGCCTCTTCCATGATAGCTATTATCATTACAGGCTTCTGTAAAGAACAACAAACTGTGAGACTTAGCAGCCACCTAAACACAGTCCTAAAGATGGCAATTAGAACAACTTTTTAATCCAGGCTAAAATCACAATGAGCTGGATTTGTCCCTGACCCTGGTAAATTTGTCCCTGGCCCTGGCAAATGTCCCTGGATCAGCATGGTGAAGGTTAACATTACAAACAGATTAGTGGAAACAAATCCTGTTTCTTTGAAATCAGTGAAGGACTAAGATGAGCGGAGGGATCAGGATCTGGTCACAGTATTTATTCCCTAATGTAGGAATTCAGTGGAACTATGAGGAGACACCTAAAGAAATGTGAAAGAGAATTAAATATGGACCATCAGTTTAAAAAGCTCGGAGGCCAGCAAAAATAAGTGGGCTATTAAAGAACAAACAGATGGGTCAGAATACTCACCTGATTAGCAAAAAGGAGGTAACATTTTGTGGAGTCCTTAGGATCATTTGTGATCTGACGGATCAGCTGCAACATAGGAGTTATTCCTGTTAAAAACCAAAATGGTTAAAGTGGGTAGTTCTTTCCATGGCTACAGTTTCAGTATTAATGCTGCCTCCATTCAATGGGATAGTCTTCAATAGTCTTCAATGGGATCTCAGCCTGCATAGGGCTACACATCTCTGGATACTAACCCACATGGAGTGCAGAGATTGGGGTTTCTATCATGACAAACAGTTCCAAACCCACAATTACTGTATGCAGGGCTTTTCTCTTCAGGATTCTCTATCATGTCATTTTACCCTCAAGACATTCTCTTAAAATACTTTTTGTCACTGATGAAGTCAGTTCTGAGGTCACAAGGTAAATTAGTATTCAAACCCTCAGGTCACTACTCCCCAGGACTGAGCTCAAACCACTGGAGTGCCTCAGTGTTGCCACCATGAAAAGAAATGCAGGTGAAAGTACGCTGTTACTAAAGTACAGTGACAGTCCTCACACATATCCATAAAATATTTCCCCTTTCTAGACCTCTCCATGATGGGATAAGCTTTACCTGTTCCTCCAGCTATCATCCCAAGGTGCTTTGCAAACTTTTTCTCAGCTTCAGACTTCTTATTAGGCTTGATAAGAAAGGTACCTAGAAGAAATATTCCAAACGTATAGGTACATTAGCTTCCAAACAAACATGGATACAAATTCCATGGGAATAAATTACCACAGGTGATCAATTAATGAAGACAAATCTGGAAATCTTTCCCTTCTGCTGAGATAGAGTCATCAGGAGATTGCTGATCACAGGAGGGCAGCATCCAGAGAAGTGCTGGGCATTTCGAGGTGAGACTTAAGTGCACAACTCCTCTCTGTCAAGATCAGTGCAAAATCTTTCACTTGTATCCTACAAGAGGATTACTTCTCTGAGCTTATTTCCTCACAGTCAGCTCAGACCAGATTTTAATTATGAAATGGAGCTGGCTCTCAGTCAGCTGGTTGTTCAGTAACAGCACTGAGATTCTCAGAGGGCATTTTAAGCCACAGTCTCACTTGCTTAAGAAGGATCTGGAGCATCATCCTCCATATGTATAGGTGGGATATTTTATTTCCACTGCAGACTTCTCAGTCATATAAAGGAACAGTAATTTTTTCAGATTTATAGTCCCAGGAGTGAGACACTCATCAGTTATTCCATACACAAAGTACTCTTTCCCATCACATCAACTCCGACAGGCTCATGGTCAAGCCTAGAAAAGGTGTTTTTTCCTCTTTTCCACTTTAAAAAAAAGACTCTCTACAGCTGTCAAGTTTTATAAAACATCACTTAAAGTAACCAATACCTCCCTTTTGCTCTCCCACCTTTGTGTCACAGTACCTGTCCCCTTATAGACCAGGAGTCCATTTGGCCCTCTGAAATCAATGGTATCTCCAATCTTCATGTTGTCTAGATACTGGGACATCTTCCCACCTTCTGGAAACTTGGGGTTCACATTTTTGTGGTAGACCTGTAAGAACAATCATTTGCACATTATCACCACTAACTTTCCTGCAGACAGTATCTGTAGGACACAATCCTGCAGGCCTGTAATTCAGCACCTGAGAAAGAAATCAAGGCAATTCTTTGCTCTCAAGTAACCTCTTGAGCGGCCAAAATAAGAAAGTGTGCTATTGGGCACACATCCCTCTGCTCCCTGCAAACAGCCAGGATAACAGGGATGGGTGGCAGGCAGATAATGTACTGCTGTCCTCATTTCACTATTGACTTATGTCACCCCATTTTTGTAGCTGTTCCTTCTGAAAACAGCATTGCTGCATCCTTTCCTTCTGAGCCTTTCCTACTCAGCCACACAACAGCTTTTTCAGCTTTCAAAGCACCTAAGAAGCATTAAGCAGCTCATAACGATTCACCACCCTTGTAACATGAAGAACAGAGCATGCAAAAAAAAAAAAAACACCTGGATTTTTGCCTAAAGGCAAACTCTATTATAGAAAAGGATTAGGAAATCCAGAAGTCCTAGATCCTCTAGCTTAAAGGATTTCCCTTGTGTGACTTGTTTTCTGCTTAGTGATGTTTGCAGTAAGCATTAGCAGCAGCCCAGGCATCTAGAGGGAGAGACATCAGTATCCATGCACTGCCAAATCAAAGATACTAGGGAAATTTCTGAAGTATTGCCAGGGAAGTGATTCTCTCCTCCCTCTACTCTTCCTCTGCCATGCCTCAGTGCCACACAGCAGATACACAGGATACAACTTACTATTCAAGGGCAATGTGAAATGAGCTGTTTGCCGTGCAGTCGCCCTATTTGAAAAAGATGAGATCCCATGAAAATGAAATTTAATGAAAATTTAATGAAAGATGATGAAATTTGATGACTAAATCAAAACAAACAATTTCACTAAAATGAAGTGCTTGCCCTCCTTCCAGTTAGCAACTTATCTCTATTAAAGGAAAACAACATTTACCTTTATAACCAAATCAACATAACCTTTTGTCTCATCACTGGAAACAGGGGTATAGGCTCGAACCACCAGATTCCCATCAATTTTTGCAGAAAGGTAAACATGCTGGCCTAGGGAGAAAGAATTACAATCTGATTCTTTTTTTCATCCCTGGAGCACAAGAGAGAAAGGCAGGTATTGCAACCTGCTACACATGCAATGACAGAGAAAATCTATGCCATATAAATAAAGTAATACAGTTTCAGGATCTTATTCCTAAATTCTTAAGACTGAATCTGGATAAGCACATGCACTGCAGAGCACATGTCAGTTGGTTTGCCATTTGTCTAGTTAATTCCATTACTCTTTCCCATACAAGCCAGAAGAGAGTTTGGAGAACAACAGGCAGCATGCAAGGCCACGCTGACAGCATGGAATGGGATGACCCTGACACCTGCCATACAGCACAGGGAACTGCCAAGTGCAGAATAAACAGAGCCACATCTGCAGATCAGAGAGAGACTTTCCCCTGAACAGATTTTCACTGATTCAAGGTCCAAGGTTCAGTGCTATCAGTGTTCCAGGACACAGGAAAGAAGGCCAATCCTAGGCTGAAATCTGTGCTACAGAACTCCAGATAAAGTTGCATGGAAATGTGTGTAATTCAAAGGTAAGTGCATGCACAGGAAAGGCTCTGAATATTTCAGCATCTACCCAGGCTGTATTTGCCAAAACCATGGAGGCAATTGACAACAGACTGAGGGGACCAGATGGAAGTAGAATGCAAATAAGAAATAGGAAAAAGCTTTAACAGATACCATTCTTGCTTATATCCTGACTGGTGACAAATTCCATCAGGCTCAGTTCAGTTTCACTGCTTCATTTCTAACCTACACCACGAAACTGGGCAAAGCACTCACAAAAGATCAGAAATACAACTTGACATTTCTCTCTGAGACAGCAACATTCAGATGCAGCTTTCAACTCCTTGCTTTGCTGAGCCTTAAATTCAGAGACAGAAGTCCAAGAACTGTGAGAAACTAGAAATACAAGTAATTGTTTACACTACTTACCTACAGGTAATCCTAATATATGATTCGTTGAGGGTAACCCGAATCTGAATTTCTTAGTATCGTGACTGATTTCCTAAAAAAACCAAAGTTAGAACGAGGTCAGCATCACCATCAGTTTGAATTTCAAACTCGAGCAGAGTTCCTTCAGCAAGCTCTTTGTTAGCATGCAAGCCAAACGCTGGGAAACGACACAGCTTTGAAAAATAAAAGTTGAGATAACCAGGAGCTTCAGAAGCAGTCTTCTCCTCTCAGCTTCCACAAGGAGTGACTTTTGCCTGCCTGCACAATCCCTACGGCATCTTTACATAGATAAAATCAGGAAACACCACGCCCAAGGCCAGTGAGCACATCACAGGGTTGCAGCCAAAGATCAGGCAACAGATTGTAGCCAACCATCAGCCGTGCAGAAGCTCAGGCTGCCAGCCTTGCTTCTCGTGGTGCAACGAGGGCAGGAGCCGAGGGAGGAACACAGCCAGCACTTGAACACGAAAGCGCCGGGAAAGAACAGCTCGCAGCGCGCCATGAGCGCTCCCACACGCCCCGCTCCACCCCGGGCGCATCACGCGTGCTGCGGGCTCACAGCCACCCTCGGAGGGCTCCGTGCCCTGCTCTGGGCACTCCATCGGCCTACAGCCTCCCAGGCCAGCGGACCGACAGCGCTCCGATGGAGCCCCGCTGACCCCCAGAGCCCCGGGCACCTCCTTGTCCAGCAGCCGCAGCGGGTACTTGGCCAGCGGGTCCTGCAGGGTGACGGCGCCGCTCGGCCTCCGCGCCGTCCCTCGGAGCAGCAGCAGCAGCAGCGCGGAGGCCGCCACCACGGCCACGGCGATGGCCACAGGCGCTCCCTGCGAGGAGGAGAAGAAGAAGGGCAGGCGGTGAGGGCACGGCGGCGGTGAGGGCACGGCCGATCCCAGCCCCAGCCCCAGCCCCAGCCCGGCCCCTCACCGCAAACGCCTCCATGGCGGCTTCTAGCTCGCAGCTCCGCCGAGCCCCTCAGCCCCGGCCGCGGAGGCCGCGCCTCGCGGCTCCGCTCGGGTGGCTCCGCTCGGGAGGCTCCGCCTCGGGTTCCTCCTCCCGGTTCTTCGTCGGATCCCGCCTCCCGGCTCCTCCTCGGGTTCCTCCTCCCGGTTCCTCCTCGGATCCCGCCTCCCGGCTCCTCCTCGGGTTCCTCCTCCCGGTTCCTCCTCGGGTTCCTCCTCCCGGCTCCTCCTCGGATCCCGCCTCCCGGTTCCTCCTCCCGGTTCCCCCTCGGATCCCGCCTCCCGGCTCCTCCTCGGCCTCCTCCTCCCGGTCCCGCTCCCCCCTCAGGCCGTGAGGGAGTGAATTCACCCCGGTAGGTGAATTTTTGCTTTCACAGAGTTGCTGAGGTTGGGAAAGCCCTCTGAGATCACTGAGGCCAAACGATGACCGGACAGCACCGTGCCAACCAGCCCGTGGCACTGGCGCCGTGTCCATAAATGCGTATTTATAATTGGCTTTTCGCAAATGTTACAATGAATATTATGTGTGTAATGTTAGAAAGTTATGCTGTACTAATTCTCTTACGTATTAAGTGTAGTTTTAGGTTGGTTACAACATAATATTAAAATAGAGACTATGTATGTGGGAGAAGTGTTTCTTTTTTTTTTTTTCAGGGATGAGATACTCGCTTTGAGGAACACCTAAATCTTCCAAAGGAGAGGAATTTATGGCTTCTTATCAGAAGAAGCTAATTTCTTCAGGCCTTGCTCAGACTCGAAGATGCCAGGGGATTAAAGGAAACAGTTGACATACAACAGACAGAGTTTCTTGTTTAGAATAGAATGTATGCATAACCATGAAGAATGTATGAATATGCAACAAGTGTATTGGTTTTAAGGTTATTCCTTTGTTCACAAGTCATGCTTTTCATGACTTAGTGTCCGAGAGCATCCAGACATCCATAATTCTTTGCTTTTTATTGTCTTGTAATTGCCCTAACTCTAAACTTTATTACACTAATTGTATTATTATTTTTATAACCATTTTATTATTATTAAACTTTTAAAATTTTTAAAAACCAAATAATTGGCATTTTTCACAGAGGGTAAAAGAAAACAAGGAAGATCCATCAGAATGGGGTTGTCATGTCATTTTGGGCAGAGCCACAGTGGGAAGAGGGTCAGAAAAAGGCATGGGATGTGTTAACCTCCACAGACAGAGGAGCACAGAGAGCAGGACACCATTCCAGAGCTAACCAGAACAACCTACGGTCACAGAGCCTCACCTAAAAATTAAATAGAATCCCATTACATGGACACCGTTGAAAGTAATTTTTTATTATTATTTTTAGGTTTGGTTTTTTTTAATCAAGATTTCATTTGCATCAGAAAACAGTTCACATTGTTGCTAAAAGGTACTGGTGCCTTACATGAAACTAAAAAGAAGAGACAAACAAAAGCAAAAACTAAGCTCCCTGTAAAGTCATACTAGGAAAAACACAAAGGCCAACATCAAGCAGCCAAGCAAAAAGTAAGTGCCATAGCAATCAGATCAAAAGCAGATATTGTAAGACAAGAATTTAAGACAGGAATTTTCGTTAGAGACACCAACTTCATTCAATAACATCACAGCTGATATCACCTGTAGCTCTCCTCACACAATTTTTGCTTTTCTGAACATATCCCCTTGAAATCCTTGTTTTAAATTAATAAACAGCTAAAAGTCACTGTGTTCCTGTTAAGCAAAACAGAATAGCAGCCAAGAGATAATACACATCTGCTCCCAGCATAAACTGATACAGTTAGCTGATGGCAATTTCCACCATAACCAAACACTAACAGGCTTCTATGATAAAAATTTACAAAGGATATTTTCCCTCCATTTCTCTCTGAAGATCTCTTCAGAGAGCTTGGCAAAAATAGAGCACACATATTCTATCAATAATGTGACACAGCTATTAATCTGAATCACTGAATCTCAATTAGCCCATAATCCTGCCACTGCTAAGTATTTTCATAGCTTCACAAAAAACTCATGCTCAATATTTTGTGGGCTTTTGCCTCAAATTTTATGGTGAAGAGAAGAAAGTGGTGAAATATGTTTACTTTATTCATTGAAGAATAAAGTCAGTGAGATTATTGTTTCCCCAGCTACAGAATAAAATTGAAAGTTTAAAAAAAACCAATATAATAAAAAAGGAGGGTTATTGGTATCAAATGCTTTTATGAGAAAAACTCTCTAAATATTTTTGCCATTAATATCAACAAAAACTAAGTGAGATATCTAGTTATTATCTGGACCATTGAGTCAAAGGAGGATTTTTTTTGTGCTACCTGTTGTACTATTTTACTAATCTAGTTTTAAACACTACAGCTGTGAGCTGCAAAGCTCACAAAAGTCTGCAAAGCTTATTGGAGCTAACTGGAGCCTGTCGGCAGAGATTTCTGCATAAGCAGCCTTTTGGACATTAAACAAACTGCTAGTTAAACAAGTTAATGCATAGATTAATTAGGATAGCTGTCAGTTCTTGCAGGGTCCCTTGGCCTGTAACACCTGTCTTTTCAAACACATTGTTTAAACACCAAACAGTTTGTAAAACCAGAGACTGTATTAAAAATATCCTGCAGTATTTTTACGCTCTCCAGCACTACATTCAAGGAGGACAAGCAAGGACATGCTTAGTTCATGTGGCTTATTTTCCCTCTTTTCCTTTCTAAGATGGATTAACAGAGTGTCAGAAGCCTGCAGGTAACTTGTGACTGCTCCAACACACATGAAAAGCCAAAGTCTCAGTTCAGGTAAATCAGCAGTAAATTCCCCAGGGTAAGTATCAGCTACTCTGGAATCTGTTCATCAGTCAAAAACCTGCATGCGCCCACCAAATTTTGTTTACAATGACATTTGTGCTTTGGGAATGTTTTACAATGAGATCCATCAGAACAGTTCTTTTGACAGTCACACAATGAAAATGGGGAGCTCTGAAAAAAGAGTATAAAATGGTAAACTCTGCCAAGATCATCAATGAAGACAGGCTGTAAACTTGTCAAAGTGGACTCAGTTGCCAGCACGTGTCAGTTCATGCTCCTCGACTTCCTCCCAACCCTGAGACATGAAGCTGCAAAGCCACAGCAAGGAAAAACATTCATCCACACATGAAATGCAGTAGAGAATGAAATAATAGTAATACAACTGGAAGAAATAAGATTTTCAGAAGTTACTGCTGATTTAAGAAAGAAACTTAAATCAACTTTTTTGGGTATTCAGCTAGGGATATTTTTAACAGCCAAGATCTCAAGGAGTGCCGGACTCCCAGATATAAAAATGGCACCCTAAAAAGACCTCAAATTAATCATCTAACAATAGCAAAAAGATTATTTGTTGTTTGGGCTTTTTTATTGGCTGTTTGGGGTTTTTTTCCCCATACGTACCACTACTATTAATATGCTTCTTGATCCAATCAGCAAAAAAACTAACATTGGTGTATTCTCCTGGGTTGTTCTTCCTTCCACATCCCAAGCCCCAGCTAGTAATTCCATGGAGAGTGTAAAACCCTGAGTTGTCTCCTGAAGGACAAAATAATGGGCTTCCAGAATCGCCCTGCACAAGGACAAAGGAACCTTGTCACGAGCCAACATCACTCCTGCTGGTTTTTAAAATCTCAGTTCAGCAAGGAGAGGTCCAAGCTGCTCACGTGCCTGGAGTTTTCCATTTTTAAAAGACAAAGCTTTCCTTGAACACAACCTTTGGTCAAGGGAAGTAACTCTTTTTGCAATATGGGTTTGACTCCTAAGGAGTCTTTCAGTGTAAATCAGCACAGCCTGTTTGCAAGAAAACAGCTTTGGGAGGTTTTGCATTTCCCTTTCTAGAGACCATGTCCTTGCCTTCCTCTAGAGGGAATCCTGCACAGATCATCCCCTGGGTCACTTTACTGGGAAGGTTTATGTAATAGCTCTGACATATCCTCAGGTGCCAGGATGGGGAGTTTCAGCTGCTGCAGTTTTTTCCCCTTTTTGCTGTCTTGAATTAAAACCCATCATCCACTATAGGCATGAATTAGCAGTTCCAGAAGGAAGCTTTACTCACTCCTTTTCAAAAGGTCTCAATCTAAATTACCTGATTTCTCTCCCCCCTTTCTCCTTCATGTCTAGCTGACGAGTGAAAACTTTTTAACCTGTCTGTTCACCAAAAACTAACGTATAGACAGAAGGACTGTTCCAGCACAGAATGTGGTATTTAAAACACAGCCACAACATGCCCAAGCAGCAAAGACTGCATAGCTGCCTCAGATGCAGCCCACCTTGTGACCACAGGCATCCTCGAGGGCTGCAGCACCCCCTTCTCACGGAGGGGCTGAATTCCAAGGGCTCAGCCAGTTGCAGCAGGGCAGTGTCAGCATCCAGGGTGGTCCTGTTCAAATTTGGGTGTATAAAATACTGCTTGACTGACCTTTTCTAGGAAAGCAAAGACATCGACATTTTCTGAAAGACTTGGGAATGCGAGGCTTTAAGTAACTTTGGTTTTATAAATTTCCAAGATGCCTTAAGAAGGGAACACATTTAAAAGCAGCTCCAGAAACTGCCAGCTTTCCAATATTAACATGTGAAGATTATGTATCTGTGACATGGAACAGGGAGCATGCAGAAAACTCCATCCAGCAAGGGTCAGAAGAGAGTCTTGGAAAAACATTTATCCAGTGTGAGCAAAGTGGCAACTTGTGCCCTAATCTTTCTGTCTTGGTGACAGTCACCAGTGAGTACAGAGACAATACACCTCTCACTCCCACATCCTCTGGAATTCTGAACTTTGGAGTTCAGTGAAGGCACAGATCTGTGCTCACACTTACACAAAAGCTGTTGCATAAATGCAGATTAGGATCAGCGTTCAGGCTGTTGGACTGCTTCATCATGGAGAATTTGGGAATAGCATTTACAATAAAAACTACTTTGAAAAATTGATTTGTATTTCATTACTAAGCAGAGCACACAGTACCTGTGTGTACTCTTCCTCTGTAAGATCCTGAAGTCCTGTTACCACCATCCATAAGTCTCTGTATATTTCCCTAAGGAAAAAAAAATTGTTCATTGTTCATTTTCAGGCTGATATAACAGCAGTCTTGAAACCCATGAATCTTAAAACCTGCTGTGTTCCTAGCACACAGAACCTGGGTTGATTTGAAGGCATTCCACAAGCATCCTCTGAAACAGAAAGCACTGATGTTCCAAGAAGTGTTTAGAGGTTAGGTTAAGACTGGGAGAAGTAAAGAACATTCCAGTTAAGGGCAACCCCACAGCTTTTCAAGCTCCACCTTTTTACTAAATCTTCCAATTTCCCTCATTAAAAAGGCTCCAAATTTTTAGACCACCAGAAGGAGATGATCCTAGCAAAAACAGAGCTTCACCAAGATGAAAGCTACTCTTTACCTTCAAAAGTTTTAGCCTCCAACCTACAATGAACAGGGACTCATACCATTTTTCATAGACTAGAGGGAGAAAGGGCAGCTCTAAAATGCTGATTGTTATTTTCAACTACTCTTTAGTCTTTGCAATTGTTTTCATCAAAGGAAGTAGGTTTAAACTGACATACACGCTGAAATGTTATTGAATTGCTGTGCATCACCTAGCAAGATGAAGGAAACAAGAAAAAACAGGTTCTGGTAAAGCCAAAGCAAGGAAATGTCACTGTGCATATTTTTATTTCCTCAAAATATCTTACTAAAAAATCTGGACCAACTGCAACAGTTAGGTATTTTGAGAATTTATAGCCCAAAAGGTACTCTCTAGTCCCATGAAGGATGACTGAGGTTGTCTTACCTGTTGTAACCTTTATTTCTTCTTTAGTAACATTCATGTTTTCAAAATCTTCTTATTTAATTGAATTCAAAATATTTAAATCTAGCAAGTGAGGGTGGTGAGTGTGTTAGCAGGATGTCTTGAGTAATATTTGTATTATAGAATAACTTTTACTTACTTACTTATTTTTGTAGAAGAAACAGATTTCTGTTGTAGGGATCTGTGCTATTACAGTATTAAAGTGCTATTTTGTGCCACAAACACAACTCCCAGGTTTGGCCAGATTCATTGTTTATCTTCACCATTTATTAGGTCTTTGTTTAATGCCTGAGGATATTCACAATCCTTTCATTTGCACTGAAACAATTTGTTAGATGAGAATCTCCCACGGGAAAATAATTCTGAGCAGCCAATCCACTGAAGAGCCCTTTGTGCTGCCCCAAGGAGGCATTTTCCCAAGTTTCTATTGGGTTTTCTGTTACCTGCTACATGAACAAAGGAGATTGTAGCTTGGAATCCTCCAAAAGTCTCTTTTTCATCAGAGTGGAAGACAACCAGCATCACAGCAGAGCTTGGAACAGGTGCTGATAGGGCAAATCCACAAGACTTGACTGAAAATGAGAAAGCAAAGGCTCACTACAAACTAACAGGTACTTTTAAATCCTTCTCTCTTTCAACAGTGGGTGCACAATATTCTGTATATTCCAGCTTTCAGACAGGAAGGTAAAAAGTAACCATGACCAAGGCTTAGGGTGAAGGACTGAGCTATTCCTGGCAGCCTGTTCAGCATTTTCCTCATCAGAGCAAGGAGTCTCTGGCATCATTTCGCAACAGTCTATTGCAGTACCCACAAACTTCATTACAAATGAAACACCCCCAGCTACCTGATTTTCCCTAATCTAAGCACCAGCTTCAAGCAAGTGCCGAAAACAGTTTTTTGGGATAGGACTTCCTCTCATTTACTATAAACCAAGTGGTAAAAATTACATGACTTATGTTCTGGAGAGAAGAACAGTTGGACTCTGAAAAGGAGATGTCTTCGGTGCTTTGTGTGTGATCATTCCTATAGACCCAAATTACTGTGCTATGTATTTGCTTCACTGGAACCAATTCAGAACTGCATTTCACACAGAATTTAAACACTTTAAAAAAGTTCACTTTGATGTGGCTTTGCCTCTAAGTTGAGAAGAATTAGCAATACCTGCATTTTTCAAGGTACTGAAACTAGTACCTATAACATTACCTTAAACTCTACAAGCAAACTTTACACTGGACAATAGGGCTAGTGAAAGTCATAAAATAGATAGAACATCCCCAAAATAAAAAATCAAAAGTCAAACCAATTTCTTCCTCTTTTCCCACATCTTCGTACACAGTCATGGCATCATAGAAGCAATCTTCACTCTCTTCTACTTCAAAAGACTGGTATGTAAGCTTCAAATTAAAAAAATGAAAGACTGCACTTTATTGTGAAAGTCATATGGAAAAAATTCAAAGATCTACAGGATCTTTAGGATTGTGAGTGATTCCTGCAAGGTTTTGTTTCTGCGACACTCAGACCTCTCACAGGTGATACATAAATATTAAATTTTCTGGAAGAATCTGCCATGATAAAATTTAAGCCAGGAAATCCTATTTTACTATAACCTAAAGGACAAATCCAAATCTATCTGTCTTTTGGGATGGATCGAGATTCCTCTTAACAGCATCCAGCAGCGTTATACATGCTCATGTTGCTTGATCCTGTTTGGCCTTGGCTGCATAATTTCTTGTTAGCTCAGTGGTGCCCATTTCCATCATGTAGATACAAAAAGGATTCATGTTATACCTTGACTACGTGGTCCTGTGGAGCACAGATGATTATCCACTGACAGCTGCCAGGTTGCTGTGGTGCTCTGGGTAGTGCATACTCTCCAAAACTCCTTCCAGCATCTGGAAATCCAGGCAGACAGAAATGGAAAGAACCAGCTGGAAATGCTGTCAGAACAGGAACATCAGGAGTTCTTTTAAGACTCAGAGGTGGCCCTTGGGCCCATCCTTAGGGCTGGTGAACTGCTGTGCACAGAAAAACCAAACACAATTCTCCAGGATGAGTTTTAGACTCAGCTGCCTCCCTCAAGGCCCCCAACCCTGAAAGCATCATCCACACAGAAATACCACAGGAGCTCCCTCTGGTGTATTTCCACCTTTTTTTTTCCAGGTCCCCACCCAAGAGTGTAGGCAGGCACATTACTTGGCTTAAATTTACCAGGAAGAATATCTGGTGTAAGAGCTTTGTAGGTAATGGAAAAACCAGTTCCATAATCCTCATCATTAGAAATGAATTTCAGCCTTATGCTATTGAGCCAATCAAAAGAGGTAATGGAAGATCTCCTCCACAGAATTCCCCTGAAACATAACATTAGAGAATAATCACTATTTTAAAGCCTTCAGTTACTAGAGAAAAATTGCATGTACCGTTTCTAATACTTAGCAATGAAATTTTAGGATTAAAAGGAAATTTCCTATTCATCCCTCTACTTTCCTTATTAATCCGTTAGCCCAAATAGATTCACACTATTAAAACTTGAAAATCATTGACACGAGAAGTGTGATAGGGTTCCCTACAAGGCATTTTCCAACCTCTTCACCTCCCATACTCTTTTTCTTTTATTTCAGAGCCTATGTCTCAATGTATCAATCAAGCAAGTGAAGCAATCAACCACCACCTCACTGGATGCACTTGCTGTTAGAAAAAGGAGTGCTCTGACAGATTATAGATCTCAAAGGTCTTTTCCAACCTGAATGATTGTTTTGAAGAACAAGGGGACAAAAACTCATCCACGAGTCTGTCATCTTTTGGTTAGAGTGATAAAGAATCATAATCAGAATATTTCTGGCTCTACATCAAGGCGGGAGGAACAAAGCCATATGTAATTCCCTTCTGGCCCAAACAGAGTCCATAGACACAATCTGGAGTAAGAAATCAGTTCCCATTCACAAAAATGCAACCAAAACCACCCCAAAACCTACACTTGTATGGGAAATATTCTCTGGGGTACGACTTTGTTTTCTCTGCTTACTGTGGTTTTGATAGAACAGTTCGGGCTTCCAGGAAAATGTAATTCCCCTTCACTGTTGCAGAGTTTGCCATCCTGAACACTACAAAATGCTGTGAGTTAAATCATAATGGAAGGAATTAGGTTTGACACATATGCAATCAGCTGTTCCACCAAAAATCTCAAACATCTGGAGGATATTGTGAGACGGGGTTGCTCAGCTGCACTTTGTTTCTCCTGGCAGACTGATACTGTGTCTTCTCTTTTCTCTCTTATATTTGGAATTCTGGCAAATCAGCTTTAAACCCCATCATCTGGGAGCAAGAATGAAGCCCTGCCAATGGGCTCTCATTCTTTACTAAATGGCAGTGCTTATTTTTTACCTTAAAGAAACTCTTGGCTACGTGAAGATTTCAGTATAAATAATTTTCAGTGAGGAAAATGGATACCCCAGAGCACAACAAAAGTGTTCATGGTACCCCATGTGTGATAATGCCCTTGGTTATGTTACAGCAGGAGGCTTTTTCAGCAGTTCAATGAACTGTTAAAAATTACTTGAGTAGAAGAAGCAGAAGCTTTCCTCTTCGGTCAAGTGTCAGCAGAAACACAACAGCACAAAAATCATCGCCTCTTGCCCTTCCTTCTGCTTGTAAGGTTACCCAGTAAGAGCAACATTTATCAACAACTATGTAAATACAAACAAATGTAAGGAGTCAGGTACTTATTACATCATTTCCCCGGCAGCATCCTGGGAAGACCAGTAAAAACATGCAAATATGTTTTCAAAAAGGTTTCTTCCTTTATAAATTATGTAACTATGGGGGGGGGGGTGCTTTTTATGCTTTTATGCTTTAACACAAATAAAAGATTTGGGGAAAAGTAGTGTACTCACCTGTGGAGCTTTTCACTTTCAGATCTAATGAAGGAGGGATAGGGAAGGGGGAGGGAAAAGAAGAATAAATTACTGCAGTTTCATGTTCACAATTTACTTTTGTCCACAGCTGGCACTGAGGCAACTCCCAGTGCTTTTTGGGGACACAGTGCCTACAATAAACTAGGGCTTGGAATCAAAACAAAATTGCAAGTTCAGGGAATGCTGACATTGGAATAAATAGTAGTGGAGTAGCCACTACCAGAATGAACCATGCTTTGACAGGCCATTTCTCAGTCTTGAGCAGCACTTTTTCAGAAGCTAAACCCTTCTCATTTTTCTCTGACACATTATGGTGGTTCCTTCTTTGAATCATCAATTCTAGATGGTTTCTAAAAGGAAATTTTATTTTTCTCCTCCCAACTTTTTTTTTTTTCTCATTGACTATATCTCTTAATTAACCCTTTTTTAACACAGAGAACTGAGTTTTCAGTTTTCTGTGTAACCTTTAACACAGTCTCTAAAACCCTTTAACAAAATTGGCCCAAACTAGAAGAAAATGCCAATTCAGTTTCTAATAACTCTCAGTGAAGCTCACTCCTGCCATTTATATCTCCAGCTCCATGACTTTGGCAGTGCTGCCTGCTGGTCACACACTGCTCCCCAGCACAGAGGGAATTCATGGCCTTTTGGGAAGATTGAACAAAAGCACTTGTCCCCCTGTTGTCAGATTTCTGATCCAGCATGTGTTAGTTGAGAAAAATGACAAGTGACTTCAAAGAAGTGCGCATGGACTCTCTGATACTTTCAACTGGTGGATTTCCACTAAAAAAAAGAAAACTTCCAATAAACATGCTAACTGGGTCTCTTTTGTGCCTTAATAAAAACCTGTAGCACAGGGGACACTCGTTTTTAAAGGAGCTGTAAGGACATACACATTTTTGGGGTGTTTAGTCAGGATTGTCAAGAAGGGGAGAGACAGATTAATTCCCTTATGGTATGTTTGAGCACGTAAAAAAGGAGTGAGGAACAATCACTTAGCCTTTATCCCACTTCCTTCCTATAACATAATTCTTTCTATTTTAATCTTGTGGATCTTTCCAACATTAATTAATTTATCAAGAGTTCTGAAGTTAGAAAGCCTTAACCATTATTGCACTGGGGGTGCAAAATTGCTCTCAGGAACCTGTCCTGCAACCCATACAATAATTAATATGGAATCATGCCATTAAATGCATTGCCCCATAGGGAACTTCTGAAAGAATCCCTCCCAGTTTACAGTGAGTTTGCTTACTTTGGCACACAGAGAAACACTCCCAAGCACACAGGCATCTCTTCCTCCAGCTGGAAATCCAGCACACATTGTGGTGTCACCTTGGATGGGGCTCCTGAACGTTGACAGTGCTCTTGAGCTGCCAGAGCCCACCCTGGTTCAGGGTGGCTCTGTGTGGTGGAAAAACTTCTCCTCCAACCGGAGCTTCCAAAGAAAGGCTCAGCAGTCTTCAGTCATCTGGTCTCAAGGTCGTTTATTGCAAGTTATCTAAAAGATTTTCTTCTTGAGCTGCTGTGGTTTGCTCACAGCTCAGGCAGAGGCACACACACCCCTGACATCCTCTCATCCTCTCTGTCTGCCATCTTCTTCTTCTCTCCCCCCACCCAGGGCTGCTGCTGTCTTTTATATGGTACATTACGTGTTACATGGTTACAGTTTTTCCCCAATGCCCATTACCTTTATTAAATGGTGCCTTTCTACTCTAAACCAATCTGTGAGTGCCAACATCACCAAGAACATGGAGGTAAGGAAGAAGAAAGAGGGAGGACAGGGCAGGCCCAAAACCCTCCATCTTAAAACTTCTGACCCCCGTGTACAAAACTAAAACCCCCCTGTACAGCACTCAAAAATTCTTCCCTCTACTTTGTGACTACTTCTACTATAATATCTAAACTTTTGTGACTTCTTGTTCTTCCTGCAAGGTTGGTAAATCATTCCATGGTTCAAACCCAAAATCACAGCTGTTTCCAGCTGCCTGCCAGGGTCTCAAATGCTTCTGACCGGGGCCTGGAATCTCCAAAAATGTCTGAGGGACATTTTGAGTTCTGACATTGAGCACTTTCTGCTGTTTGGGTTTGGGGGATTGACTTCATACAAGACCTGAGAGAGCAGTCCATCCAAAACACAAATCCACGTTCAGAGGAAAAGCTGAAAGGTAAACTGAATGCCACTGTTAATACACCACAAAAAGTGGCTGGAAACTTGCTCCAAGCCGTGTTATGGTTACAAGCATGTTTTGGCAAACATCCAGTCTTTTGCATATGAGCAGTTTTACTTGAAATAATTCCAAAATGTTTCCAAATTCAAATGCAGGTCTAGTTTTTGTGATTACCCATTCTGTAGAAATTCACAGATAGGCGTAGAAGCAAAATCCCATTTTGAGATTACAAGTCTTAAGGCCAGTTGAAGGTTACTTTTGCTCTGGCTCTGATCTGGGCAATCAAGCTCTTCATTCCAGAAAAAAATAATAATGTGAGTGGCTTTCTTTTCTTTAAATGGCCCCAGCCACAAGGAGTGCAGATATATCCTGCTTCAAAATTTTCACCTGGGTGAGGAAGACATGCTGGCAAAACTAATGAACCTGCCACACAGGAACATGAATTTTATTCATAAATATTTGAAATAACAATTACAAAAAGCTTCCTTTATAAGTTTTGAAGAGTTTTTAACAGAAAGAAAAAACTTCTTATTTTTGTGGAATCTGTAAAATCATCTCATATTGAAAATTTACCTTCTGCATGCAAAGAACAATAACTTTTTCTCCATGGAGAAAAAGATCACAGCTAACTCTGGCCTTACTGAAGCTGAAGGTGCCATCCAGCTTCAGCAGGGCAATGTCATAATTCATTGGAGTCCTGGGGTCACACTTGGGGTGCTGAATGACAGATGTGACAGACAATGTCTGCTCACTGCTCCCCCTGAGCCCCAAGCCGTGCTCTCCTGCAGTGACATGCAAGTATTGCAGTAGGTCCCTGTGGAACAGAAAAATTAAAGTGAGAAAATGGAAGTGAAAAATTGAGTTGTTTTTAAACTGAGAAATTATTACTTCTGATATCCAATACCTTTCATCTTCAGATTTTGGAGCACTTAAGATGTACAGACAGCAAGAGCTGAGTAAGCCCTGTAGGAGAAAAGCCAGGGAATGTCAGGAAAATGGGAAACCGGACAAGACAAACGCAGATCTGAACCAATGTGTTTAATCAAACGCTCTCCATTTATTCGAGATAAGATGGTAGTTTTTATAAGCTTCTACATAGTTTACAAAAACAAAGGCACTCTGATTGGCAAGCTAACATTGTTTACCTTTTCCTTAAAGTGGCCTAAACCTTACACTATAAACCTATACTAATTCACACCCAGACAGCCCAGTGGTCCCCATCACACTTTAATACTATTTCTATCTGCACCACAAACTCTGAATTTCCAACTGCGTCAGAGGCTTGAAGGCCTCACCAGGCCCAAATCTGAGGCCCAGACTGGAGTAGCTCAAATCTCATAACTCATGTCCTCTTTCTCTCAAAAATGCTGCAACATAGGAGGAATTGGGAGATGAAAAATCCTTTTGCTACAGACCTGACCATGGTTTGATGGTCGATTAAGGAATCAGGTCCTCTTACTGTGTTTAAAAGTGTTTAGCTACACTGCTTTTTGAAGGAGGAGGGAAGGTTTGGACATAGAAAAGTGCAGAATAAATAAGGTCATTTCTCTATGATTCTGAGTTGATTAAAAAAAGCCAAAAAAACATAAAACCACAGTGAATCCTGCCTTAGGGCTCCTGGTACCAGACCAGGTGTGCAGCAATGGAACACAAAACCAATGAGTATAAACTTTATTCTGCTTCAAATTAATTTTTTACATAGACTTCCAAAACCAGTCTTTTTCAATCTCTGTAAGTTTATTTATTAATTATTTTGATGTGTTCAGAGGGTTCTTTCTCCCTTTCTGTTAAAACATGAAAAATACTGATTACAAATAAAAGGGTAGCACCTGTAAGTAAGCACCACAAAGAGGTGCTACAGCACACACACGTTTCCAATCCATGTTTTCCTGCACCTGCAGCCTGAAATATCCCATCCATACCTGTACAGGGTGCAAAGAGCTGCTGTGAACACCCAGTGAGCAGAAACGACAGTGCCTCCACAGAAATGCTTTTGCCTTCTCTTCAGGGAAACCTGCAGCATTTAAAGAAGACACTCCCAATAAAGAAAATCTTTGTGTCTGCTCTGATTGCCTCTGGGGAAGAAGAGGGAGAGCACCCCTGTGCCCCCAGCCAAAGCAGGAGCTGTATTCCCAGCTCGAACACTTCCTTGGCTTTCTCAGAATCCCTGAGCCCAGGAGATCCTAAAGCTTGCTGCTCTCCCCTCAGCTGTGCCTTGGGGCCTGGAGAAGAGCAACACACCTGTAATAAACCCCAAGTCCCTGAGGTACTCAGGCTGTGAAGGTGACTGGTTGGTTGAGAATTTTGGGGGCACTGCAAATCAAGGATGCCTGGCAGTAGCCAGGGGCTTGGGGCGGTGTCCTGTGTGCTATTTCTGAGAACTTTCACCCATTTACAACAGACTCATCTACAGATACTCTTCCAGAAAGAGTGATGAACAAAATAAAAATCATAAACAAAGGTTTATCAGGAAGCAGGATGGTTCTGAGTCCTCTCCACCTGTTCCATTGCTTTTCTTAAAAGCAGGCTGGAGTTCAACAATATGTTATCATACCATGGCTTGGGTCGGAGGGCACCTTAAAGATCCAACCCTCCTTGCCCTTCCACAACACCAGCTTCCCCATCCAGCCTGGCCCTGGACACTTCCAGGATGGAGCAGCCACAGCTTCTCTGGGCAGCCTGTGCTCTCACAGTAAAGAATTTTTTCCTAATATCCAATCTAAACCTAATCTCTTTCACCTTGAAGCCATTTCCTGTGGTCCTGCACTCCCTGCTTTGGCAAAAAGCTCCTCTCCAGCTCTCTTGTAGGCATCCTTCAGGTACTGGAAGGCTGCAGTGAGGTCACTCCAAAGCCTTCTCTTCTCCAGGGCTTTGTTCTGCAGATAAAACCACATTTACTTGTGCTAACCTGCCATGGGTGTGAGCCTTGCTTCACCTGGTTTCCCCCAGCAACCAGAGTGAAAAGGACAAAACAACTCCACGGGCTGGTCTCTTGCACTTTCTGCCCACACTTAGAGTCTAAGCGGGGAAAAGAAGGAAGGATTTGGTCTGGATTCAAGTTTTATTTCTGTTTTGGTAACATTGAATTGGCATGGCCTAGTGCAAAAGTCAGTCTTTCTGCCCTGTCAGGAAACAGATCTTATAATCCCTAATACCAAGTGCCCAGGCTAAAGCTAAACTGGGCTAAGAAAAACATGTGCAGATATTCTCTTTCAAGCAAGTTTTAAAAATATTTTGGAACTAAATCACTATTTCATGATGAATTTCAGAAATCTCTTTATAACTAGCATTTGTACTGAAGATACTTTTGACAGAGAGTCAAAATACACAATAAACCTTGATGACCAAAAACAGTGGGTGGATTTCTCCAGAACATCTATGATTATGCCAAATTTACTTCTTAACTTAATATTATCATCATCTACTGATGGCTGAGTGAAGCTGATATCCTCTATGTGTTTCTAAAGGTGAATATATAAACAATTCCCTGCAGTCATAATTATTCATTTGGCTGTATTTTAAGAAAGACAGAAGCAAAGCAACCAGCAGCAAATTGTAAAAGAGGAATTCTTTGTAGTGCACGTCCCAAACCCAACAGTGGTCACAATTTTATTTTTTTCCTTGAAGATGAGAACTTCAACAAAAACTCATTGAAAACACATCTCTAATAGATTTAACGACAACCTCTGTTAAACTCTCCATTGTGAAAAACACAGCATCAATAATCATGGACCATTTTGCTGTTGCTCTGGCAGACAGGAGGGTGCATTCAAAGGATGGAGGACCAAGACTTGAACAAATTGTCTGGGAAATGTGGGATTCTCCAACCTACCAAAGGAATCCTACATCTACAAAAAAGGGGTTTGCTGTCACCTCAGGATTAGCATGGCTGATGTAAGGGATTACAGTGACACAATTGTGTTCCTGACACAATGCTATTTCAATCAGCTTTTAAATTAAAAAGACTTTCTATAGAAATGAGCTAGTTCATTTATCTGATTTTTTTCCATTCTTCCCTAATTATCACTCCACACACCTTTTTCCCCTTGTACAAAGACACAAGGACAGGGGAAAGAGGAAATTTAAAAAAAAAAATAATAAGACAAATTTTTTTAAAAATTAAAATTAAGACAAATTAAAAAAAAAAAATTATGATTAACCAGAAAGAATTTGGTACTTGGCAAATGGGAATAAATAAAAGAAAAAGAAAAAAAAAAAAAAGAAAAAATTAGATTCACAAAATAGTTTTTTTTTCAGCATTGAATAATTCTATCCTCCAATGAAAGAGTAGTTTAAAAGTTTTAAAAGTAGTTTAAAAGTGAATCATAGTTAATCTGGTCTTCTAGTTTAGGATCGTAGCTAGATTTGTGTAAAAGTTGCAAAAAAATACCTACAAACTAAAACTTTGCAATAACAATGCAATAGCTCACTGTGCTATCAATTCATTTCCCAGAAAGATTCATATCCATGATTTTTCAGTCACCCAAGCCTTTTTTGGGGAGCAAAGTGTTTGCCTGAAAATTAAGAAAATAATTATTTATAAAAAGGTCAGAGACAAAAGCTAAAAGCCAGTATAATTTTGAACTTTTTTAATTCAATCTATTAATAAAAACAGTGCTGACAAGTGCCTGTTTCTCTCCCAAAGACAAACTGACAGCTGAAAACCACAAAGCAAATCCTTCACAGGTGATCCAAAACACCTGATGTGGGATCTCACACTGCTTGCATAACCCTGATGGCTTTAAACCAACCCAGAATTAGGGCACTTGTGCCCCATCTCCCATGGAAGTGCTGCTGCCATTCCCCTCATGCCAGTCTCAGCCTTGGCCAGGCTCTGAGCTTGTTTTATGTAGTTGGATTTGCTTTTAAAAGCAGGACTGGTTTCTTGACCAAAGCTTTTAAACAAAAATTGAATGCCAGTGTCAATGCAAAGGGATGAATAAATGCCCTAGCCAGAACAGCCCATTCCTTCCAAATGTAGCCCCAATTACAATTTAAAGCATCAAAATCCATCATGAAACTCCAGCTGGGCTGTTCTAGACACAGCACTGTCCTCAGAGCAGATCCAGAATTCTCAGATCTGTTCCAAGCTTTGTGGCAAGCTTGTGCTCCGAGCTCCTGCCTAGTTCTGCTGAATGAATGTGCCTCAGCCAAACAAATTTGGAAATGTTCAGGTATCACCTGTCCCACTCCAGGCGTGGTGAAATCCCTTTTTTTCTGGTGTCAGAATCTGAGGTATTGATGATCCCGAGATTGTAGAAAGTCTCTGTCTTTCTGCCCCGTTGCCAAAGCAGAAGCCATAATTGGTCTGTGCTGGTTTCAAGGTTTATTCTGTTTGTCTCTAACATGTTCTGCTGCCCTGCCGCAGCTCTGTCCTGCAGGGCAGCGTGTGGGGCTCTGCCCTCAGTGGGATGGTACAAACATTAAATACCACAAACTACCTGTGCTGGATTTACAATAACGTGCCAATATCTGTCACCTACGTTGGACAGTGTGTCCCCTGCCTAAACCAACAGAAAAATGCCAACACCACAGTGAAACATGGAGGGCATGAAGAAGGAGAAAAAGGACAAGGCACACCCAATTTCCTCCATCTTGTCCCCTCTGAACCCCTAGTCTAGAATCCTAAAATTTTACTTTTGCACCTGTGCCACACTTAATTATTACTGATATCAAACACTCAGAGCTTGTAATTCATCCTGTAAGATTGAAAACTCTTTTCCATGGACAGAGATCACAGACAGTGTCTCTGGGGGCTCTGTCCAGGGGGGTTCCTGACCCTCTGCCAGGGCAGCCAGAGGGATGCCCTAGATTCCCACATTCTGGGGGTGAAGGTCCCCAAAGGGCAGAGGAACTTTGTAGGCTTTCAGCAGCACAGCAGAAGTTAAAAGCCACCCAGTAACTCTGGAGTTTAAAGAGGAAAGTTGCTCCCACCCTGCACAGCTCAGGTCTGCTCCACATCCTCCCATGTGTTAGTCAGATAAACTTACATATCTACTCACAGACCAGATTCCCTGGATGCAGAGGACTTTGTGAAGCTTTGAACACTTCTTCCTTCGTTGTTCCCATCACAGCCCACCCCAAAACTGAAAGGGCTGAGGGTTCTTGCCTCAGAGAGACACTGAGTTGTGTTTTATTGCCTCCAAGTTACTCCAGCAAGGACTCAGAGGGAGCAGTAAATCTAAATAATTTTGATATAACTTTTGATAATGTTTTCACTCCAGCTCATCTACACCCTCCTAAATTCTCCAGCTGGCCCATCAGGGCACAAAGCAAAGTGCACAATGGCAAGAATGTTCCAAGGAGCACTTGGGGCAATAAGAACGCACAGAAACCCGCCAAGAAGCTGTTTCCCAGCTTATTTAATTCAGGACTTTAGATACGCATCAAGATCTGTTTGAGTCTCCTGTGCAAAACAAAAGGAGCACAATTTTAACACAAAATGCATTTTTTCATCCAGAAATGCTCAATAGTTGATGTACCAGCCAAAAGCAACTGGAAACCAAGAATTAAAAGAAACAGCAGCTGCTGGCCTTTTCCCACTTTTCACTGCAGCTCCATTTTTCCATTTTCCAATATATGGGAATTATAGGTACAGGCTCAGTTACCTGGATCTGTGATGAGCAATTTTCCTTTTGTAGCTAAGTCCTTTCCCAGACAGAAATTTTACCTTTCAAAGCAAACAAGACCAAGGCCAAACAAGGTGAACAATGTCAACAAATGCAGAAATACTGCAGGCTATGGAGAGCACAGAGCTTCCCCTGGATGGAGCCCAGCCTTAAACTGATTAATTAGGAAAGGACAAACAAAGGAAGAGAGAGGGAACAAAATTGTGCTTAGTTTAAATATTTGACCTGAATATCTCAAAATGCTTTGTAAGGGTAGATCAATATTAATGCTTTTCAGCTAATATTTGGCAGATTTGGCATAAACAAATCAGCAATAGTCAGAAGCAAGTTGGTCACTTAACTCCCAGCTTATTCCCCTTGGGAATGTTTTGTGAAATGCAAAGTCTTAAGAGCACAGTGGCAGGTCCTCAAGGTAAGTAGAAATAAAAAATAATAAATGCAGTACATCAACTGATTTTTGGAGAGCACAGTGGAAACCTTTCAATGCCTCTTTGGCATGGGTAAAAATTTACAGTATTACGGTGTTTACAGAATGTGCTCAAAATACATAAACATGCCATCGCAGGCAGGCAGCAGTGAGATGAATCCGTGCAGATTTTTTCAGAAACATACTGAAAATAAAATAAAATAAAATAAAATAAAATAAAATAAAATAAAATAAAATAAAATAAAATAAAATAAAATAAAATAAAATAAAATAAAATAAAATATAAAATAAAATAAAAATGTGTTGCATCAGCCTGGCTATGCTGTTGGCTGTGCCTGCACTGCACATCACATCAAGACCAGGAGGTGAAAGGAGAGAACTGCAGGTGACTCCTGGTTCACAGTGGGTCCCTCTGCCTTGCTGGGAGATGGAGCTGAATCCAAAGAGTAGGAAGAGATGAATGACCTGTCAAGCTAGCTTTAAAGCCCAGGAGAAGGAAGTCCAGGAGTAATCCATGTATTTGCTCTTGACCATCTTGTCCAGGGTCAGTCTGCTCTCTTCCAGGCTCAGTCTCCATGGCTAAATCATTTCTTTTCAGGACCCACAATCAAATGCAATCAAGAGCAGGCTCACAGCCCTCAGCTACTGGGACATCAAGCCAGAAAGGAGACAATACTGAAGAAGCATCATGTTCATAAAGCTTGAAAGGTGGATTTAAAACTCTTTAAATTTGGGGTATTTCCAGGCTGAAATCTAAGGAGTGGATTTGGCTTTGTAAAAGCCTTCGAGATTCACAGTTCCCACTTGGAAACATGGAAATGGAGACACAGAGAACAAGAGAGACAGAGGGGGGAACTGCAAAAAAGTTAAAACTGGAACTTTGTCTTCTGCTCCTGATGCTCCCGGAGCAAGGAGAGAGTGTGGGGAGCACAAGCAAAGGCAGCCCAAGCACAAAGAGCAAGCTGGGCCAGAGAGATGGGGAGAGCCAGGCCAAACAGCATCAATGTGAAAAACGCCAATCACTTGGTTTTTAAAAATTTTAACAGTTTAATAATAATAAAATGGTTATAAAAATAATAATACAATTAGAGTAACAAAGTTTAGAGTTAGGACAATTACAAGACAATAAAAAGCAAAGAATTACGGACGTCCGGATGCTCTCAGACACTAAGTCATGAAAAGCATGCCTTGTGAACAAAGGAATCACCCTTAAACCAATACACTTCTTGCATATTCATACATCCTTCATGGTTATGCATACATTCTATTCTAAACAAGAAACTCTGTCTGTTATATGTCAACTGTTTCCTTTACTCCCCTGGCATCTTCAAGTCTGAGCAAGGCCTGAAGAAATTAGCTTCTTCTGATAAGAAGCCATAAATTCCTCTCCTTTGGAAGATTTAGGTGTTCCTTGAAGCCAGTATCTCATTCCTAAAAAAAAAGAAAACAACTTCCCCCCACATACAGAGTCTCTATTTTTTTTTTTTTTTAACTACTAAAGTCTTCATTTTAACTACAAAAGCACAACTAATCAATATAACATAATACATGTAGTAACTGTCTGCATAGAGCCATATAATATGCATTTTTCATTTCAATGAACAGGGATGGGATATTTCCTTCATTTCCATTAAACTACAGCCAGTGACAGGATCCCTTGCAGTGACATTTGGGAAAGGCAGGAGCTTTGTTCTGTCCCAGCTCTGCCATCAGATGGCAGAGCAGCACCAGCTCTGCCACCGAGGTGGGGGTATCACCTTCCCATGCTTTGTTCATTAACAGCTGCAAAAATCAACATGAATCGTTTTCCCTTGGCACGGCAAGACAAAACTCATTCCAAGACAGTGAGATGTTTAAAGCCATATCAAAAGATTTGGGTCACACGACTGCTCTGTAGAAATTCATTCTGTTTTTATGGTTGCAGAGAAAGCTTAAGGAAAACTGAGACATCTGCAAAGTTCTCTAACCATCATGAGGAGCCACATGATGAACACCAGTGACACTCAGCCAGCACAGATCTTGGTGCAGGGTTTTTGTCTGGTTTTGCCCATTTGGTGGTCGTTCTCAATGTTGAGGGTACAAGGGGCAGGAATTTACAAACCCTTTCTGCCCCACTGCAAACCTGAGCAGGAATCACCTTTGTGGCAGTAGATGCACTGACACAAAGTTATCTGGGTTCAAGCCGTGCACAGCTTAGAATTCCCCAGCTGGATTCACATTCCTATTTTTTCACTTTCGTAACCAGGCTCCTGCTCCCAAGCAGCTTCTACCACTGCAACCACCTGCAATAGCTGCTGCCACAGGAGACTCGTGGCTCAGGCATTACCAGCAGTAGAAACTCTGTTTTTTCCTTTAGGGAACAGACCTTGTGCTACAACAAATACCACAGCAGGGCGAGGAGGGGAAGCAGAAAACTTTGGTCTTGAAACCAAGGGGATTCCCTGTCTCTGCAATGGTTGGTGTAGCTATAAATAATGAGGAGGAAATGAGAACTCTGCCTTAAAACTATTCAGTACTTTGAATGTGCAAACACGACTGAAAAAATAACTGGGAAGAGGCAAAAAGAGCGAAAGCAAAAGTGCTAAATAGTAGAGCTACAATTAGGTTGGATATTAGGAAAAAATTTCTCACTGAAAGAATAATAAAATACTGGAATTGTCTTCCTAGGGAGGTGGTGGAATCACCATCTCTGGATATGTTTTAAAAAAGACTGGACTTGGCACTTGGTGCTATAGTCTGGTTGTGGTGTTACGGCATAGGCTGGACTTGATGATCTTAGAGGTCTCTTCAAACCTCATTATTCTGTGATTCTGTAAAATACCCTTAGTTTGTGAGAAATATGATCATGCAAGCTGTGAAGCAGAGTCATGGATGTACAGCCACCCCAGCACAGGCCTGCTTTGGAAGGGATGAATTTCAGCCTTTTCAGCAATATTTGGCCAAGCTGACTGAGGTTAAGGGTGCAGGTTACTCCTGTCAGGCCTGCAGTGCCAGCTCCTGTGGCAAGCACATTTCTCTCCCTCTCAGGATTTTTCATAGAGGAGCACAGAGAGAAATGAAAGAGAAAACAATTTCTATTTCTGCTCCTTGTTTTTCCCATGTGGAATGTGTTTGGAGAATTGTTTACCTGGGCTGATTGCTTGGTTGGATTCTGGTGAGGATTGTTTGAGCCTGATGGCCAATCCAACCCACCTGGGGCTGGGCTCTCAGAGAGGGTCACGAGTTGTGTTAGAGACAGAGTCAGAGAAAGTAGTATGTAGTTTGAGTATCCTCCTTTTATATAGTATATTGATGTATTTTAGCATAGTTATAATAATCATTCAGCCTTCTGAATTGAGTCACACATCGTCATTTCTTCCCATTGGGTTCACCTGCATTTACAATAAGCTCCCAGCAGCACACTGCAACAGAACAATCACAGAAGAGTCTTAAAAGCTTCAGAGAACGGAGTTAAAGGAGTTCCAGGGCTGGTGTGAGGGTGCAGTGGGTGGAAAGATAAACTGTGCCACTGGTGGAGCCTCTTGAGCAATTCAGCCAAGAGGAACCTCACAGAGCACCACAGAAACCACACCACGCTCACAGACAGGAAGGCTTCTGCCTTTCATCAGCAGATGTGAGGCATTCTCACCATCAGCAGCAGCTGAAACCATCCAATTCTTTGCAAAACAACTGCAAGCCAGTTTTAATGCCAACCCTCTTTCCTGAGGACATTCCTTTCTGCCAGAGTGGCACAAGGAGATTGGTCACCACATTTATTCCTGGCTCAAAGACACGTGAATTCAAGCAAGGCAGACATGGTGTTAAGTTAACCTGGACAAGCTTTGCTGTTAATTTGATGTAAACAGGAGACAGAATCAAACCACCCACAAATTCTGTGCATGCTCAAGATTTCATGGCCGTGGGGGTTGTGAGCAGCACTGTGCTGATCATGCAACAGCTTTGGCCTGTTCTGAAAAAAATTTAAAAAAGCAAAAAAAACCTGCCACGCAACAAAGTAGACTGCAAATACTAACTCCCCGCAGAAAAAAAAAAACAAACAAAAAAAAAACCAACCAGCTGAAACACACTGAACAGCAGCATTTCTTTCACAACTTTGTGCACAATGCAACCCTTTTTATGTAGGAAAGTGCCATGTCAAGCCCTCAGAACTGCAGATCACAAACACTGCAGAATGCTGTAGTTTTGTGCTGGTTTATATTGAATTAGCACACATCATTTCTGCACTGTTCCTTGCTCTAATGTAATATGTATGGGGTTCCATCACTAATTTATGGATTAGGAACTCTCTACTTTCTCTAGAGCAAGGGTCAGGGGTAAACTGTAGTTTTTGGTATCTTTTCATGCAAAAAAAAAAAAAAAAACCCCCCAAAAAAAAAACACAGAAAAAAACCAAGAAAAAAAACAAAAAAAAACCCAAAAAAAACCCCAGAAAGCTTAAGTTGGTACATTTGTGTGTGGGCCAGGTGGAAATGGGGTAGGATAGAAAAACAGCACAGCAAACTTCAGTGAGGCCCGTCCTTACCTCCAGAATAATTTACCACCAAAAAAAAAAAAAAAAAAGGGAAAAAAAGGAAAAAAATTACACAAAATCCACAAATAAAATAACACACCCCAATATTTCTACTTGCAAAGTTAGAGGTCCTCTGTGGGCTTAGTAGAGTCTTGGGCAACCTGAACTGTTCTCAGGCAGCAGGAGAGCCAGGCAAAACCTTCCTGCAGCCCCAGAGCCTCTCTGAGCCTCTCAGAGCCTGCAGGAAGGATGCTGGGCTTAGGACTGTGAGGAGTTAATAATTCCATCTCCAATATTGTCATGGTAAAGGCAGGAAAGGAGTGGTTACTCCCTAGGTGTGCTCAATGTGAGTCACTTTTCAAACAGCAGAGTCAGCCCCAGGCTGCAGAGCCCCAAAGCCTCTCCCACGGGCCAGGATTCACCACTGAGCACAAGAAAATTCTGGTTGCAGCCTGATTTTCTGGGCTTTCACAACTTTTGTTACTTGTGTGCTGTGCCCAGCCAAGGTTCTCCTGCCCAGATTGAGTTAAATATAAAATTGACACACACAGAGCAACAGTCTGGACTTGATAAAGGTAGAAAAACCTCGACTAAAGGATTTGGGTGCACTTTAGCTTAAAACTTCTAAACATGAAATTTTATTTTTTTAGTCATTTGTTCCTCACTCTGAAATCCTTGGTACAAGATTCTGTTATTAAAGTGATGCAATGAAATAAACAAAACCAGGATTTTGTATTAATTAGTGGTGTATGAATGGCCACTGCAAAGGTTAGAATAGCAGAAAGGATGAAATAATTAAAAACAAGAAAAAAAAAAAATCAATTCAGAACCTCTGAGATACCACTCTTGTGTTGCATATTTTACAGATATTTTTGACCATCTGGACTCTCAAAAAGTTGTATCTACAACTCCAGCTGAGGAGCTACAGAGGAGTTTTTAGAAGTCCAGCTGAGGCTTAATGATCTTGACTTCTTGGCCAAGCACCCAAGACCAGAGGAAGCTCCATTTTGCCATGATTTCATTGCTGTTGGCACCCAAACATCCCAGCAAGCTCTGCAGACTTCACT